ACTTAGACATTTTTGTCCACCTTGAGATTTCATTGATCTTGTTACATGTCTCTGCAAAATCGACTTACTTATATTAAATTGCTTATCTATTTCAAATAAAGACTTATTCCCAATTTCGCTTCGAATAAACCAGATTTTTACCAACAAATTTAAAAAATATTGTTATAACTACATAGACAACCCTACAAACCTGTACCTATTTATACTTAGGTCGTTTCCATTTCACGTATTCTCATCCCAATTGACCCCTTTTTCGTTGTTATTTGTACCTAAGACGTCCCCAATATCCCCAAAAACAACAGATTTTTACATGTATTTTTATTTAATCAAATACATTAAAACCAATAACAACTGAGACTTACCTTTAATATATATGCTGGTTCAAACACTAAATAACGTTTATAAATCATAGTCGTCTTCTATTATTATCAAATAAATAAAAGAGAGCAAAGTTTCTAGCACTAAAATAATGACCACGACAGGAAGTTAATTTGAAACGCGATTTTTTATAAGTTAGCAGCTATTATCATGCATATTCAGAGTTGTTTTGTGAACTTTCAACATTCTACTATTAAACTACAAAAAATGGAAGATTTTGCAACGAATATAAAACTTATATTGAGCGTCGAAAGATTTTCCCGGTTTTTCCCGATTCGCCTGTCAATCCCTAATCGCCCCATTTTACCGGTATAGAACAATATGTCGTGTCCCTACTATATAGGTCTATGAGTCAACGGCGAAGATAAAGACCGCGAATATTGACAATGTGTGTACATTGACATTGACAGTTCATTGACCTCACATAGCCCTCAAGCTAGACTTGCGCAAAACATCACTTCCCAATGTAATGTGATATGACATCACTTTTACAGATAGGTGATATTACTCGAAAACATTACACATCACTCTTAACATTACTCGGTGCGTTCAATAGATACTGTGACGACGAATACATTGTATCTATACACCCGAATCATTACCTAAGTGATGTGTATCAACACATTACTTAGGTAATGATTCGGGTGTGTCATTACAGTAGTGTATTACAATACAAAGTATGAACTTTGTATTGTAATACACTGTTATATTACTTGACAGAGATTGACTTTTTATAATATAATAATTTTATTTTTTACTTAATATAATTTATTGTGAGATGAACGGATTTTATATGGCGACTTAGACTGCAAATTGAGCTCGACAATAATGTTAATATACGAGAGCAGTAGATGCATTGTTTCGGCGCGATATCCTCAAAGTGCATCCAAGAAGGACTGTACTTTCATTTAGACGCCGTTATTTCTCTCACTTATTAACCACGCATTAAAACAAATAATAAAACTATCTTCAAACAAGTGCTTAAGTAATTCAAATCAAACACAAAAATTAATATGAAATATTACTAAACAATTACGAGCGACAAGCGATTTTACAAAAGTTGCGAATAAAAAATTAAGTAAGTACTTGCGGGGAACTACCGGCTGGCCGCATGAAAAATATAAACACAAATACCTATATTAAAATTCAGACGTACCATAGGTATAAAAATGTACCTAGCGGCCAGGANAAGTAAGTACTTGCGGGGAACTACCGGCTGGCCGCATGAAAAATATAAACACAAATACCTATATTAAAATTCAGACGTACCATAGGTATAAAAATGTACCTAGCGGCCAGGACATACGGTTCAAAATCACTAGGAATAATTCCGTGTCGCTTGCTCATTTATTTTGCGTCGATCGGTCTGTCTCGCTCGCTCGGTTCCGTTCGTGTAGTAAGCAACATTACACGACAAAGAAAGAAACATGTTGGTTGGGTGATAGTGTGATGTTTGTTTCCTTCGCGTAATGTGTGATGTTGCATTACATCGTAGAGTAATATTACCCGAGTAATATCACTCGCATTACTTACACATGTCTACCTCAAGCTGATTATGGCGTTTCTGTGACTTATTCCATTGGTGTTAATACTGCATTCCGACACCTCGTTAAAGCCTGGTTAAAATCTTAAACTCGCCGATCAGTTATGGGGAGGCAGAAAGGAGGAAGATAATGTAGGAATTGTAGTTTCTAGACCCAAATCGCGTATCTGACCATTCTGATAATTTCACTGTATAACCAGGCGATTACAAAATTAGTACCAACTCTAATTGCTGCTAATTGTCACAATCACAAATATTTATCCCATTTTTAATAAAACAAAAATTCTTTTTTAAAAATTTATTGAAGTACCTACAAACATCAACAATAAAAATGTATTCGAAAAATAACAATCGATGAAATATTACAATACTGTAAAAGCAGTCACGAGAATAAAAGGATAGAAAAATGCAATAGGAATGCTTAAATACTATAATATTAATAAATTGTGCATTAAGTTTATTGAAGACACTCAATTGACTAAAACTACAACATGCTATAGCGTCATTATTTAAATGACGTCCGTTGATATTTCGAACGTTTATAATTCAAATTTCGAACAAGGTCAACAATGTTATTTTATTACACAATATAAGTTGTTTCTTGCTTGCTGATTGTTTTTAATTTCTTTGTTTCTGTTTTTGTTTCGCTATTGTTTTAATTTGTTTATATTGGGAAGGGACCTTTATTGGCTTTTTGTTTCTATTATTTGTTACATTATTGTCCTAATGGGCTGTTGGTTCTCCTTGTGGTAAATAAATAAATAAATAAGTACACTTTCTTAATGTTTTTTGCCATCGTGGGCAGATTGGTTAACAAATAGTACCACAAGAAGAGCAATGACATGTGACACAGCTCGGGGAACACTCCGGGGGAGAGCGGTGAACAATGACCTCTGTGGATAGACCCAGCGTACCAGTGGGGATGATCGATATTCATCTACGTTTAAGAGGGATAAATTCCTTTTGACACATATTTTAAGTTCTCTAAACATTGATACATAGATAATGTGAAAACAGTATTAAAATTTCTTTGAAATACACGATTCGCTTGTATTTCAAAGAATACGCATCTCAACGAGCAACAGCTCATATTAACATTTATCTTTTTATTGCAAGTTTGTTTGTTCTTATTACCTTACTAACCTGAACAAGTTACTTTTCTTGTTGAGTGTACCCAAGCACAAATATTATATTTATAGCACAATTAATAAATTGTTTATTTTGCATACAAAACTTTGATGTTTTCGAAGATTGGTGTATTCCATTTTCCACATTTATCGTAATCAATGCTTTGAAATTAATTTTAATGTAATATCAATAATTTTAGTGTTCCAGGCAGTAAGAATGAACTTTGCTCTGGTAATATATGATGCTCTCAAAGAATTCCTTAGAATTTGTCAATAATCAATTAATAATTAATAGATATTCGTATATTGAAGTACTGTTTTCTTTGCATTAAATTCCGACTGTATCACTTGACTTGATTTTATGGATAGTGAATTGGTTTCATATACAAAATGTAAAATTCAAAGTTTAACGATACATGTCCCATATCAAACTTACAACACTGAACCACCAGAGCGTTAATATACATCTTTTTAAATATTTTTATTTATTTTATCAATGTAATGTCAAAAATGCAAATTCCATAATAAGTCATTATCAGCATTATTTATAATAATTACATTTCTATCAACAGTTGATATTTAATGAAATCGAATTATTATCTGTTCGAAATTAATACCTTTTCTTATATCTATATTTAAGGCATAAAGCAAAATATTCCATTGTCAGGATCTGAAAAAAAAAACTTCTTATTTACTTAAGGAGTTACTTCACATTTAAAATTAAAAAAACTGTTTTTTTTTGCTTCTGGTGAGGGTGTTTGTTCTGCATTTCATAAAAAAACGTTTTCTAAGTGCAGGTTGTAAGAAATCACACTGAACTGACTTATTACCCAAGACCCACCCAGTTCAAAATTAACTAAATAAAATATTAAAACATAATATTGATGTGTGACTATTGTATTAGGTGTTTATTTATTTATTTATTGTTTATATGGGTGGAAGAACTCAAGGCGTCACTCACCTGGTGTTAAGTGGTTACCGGAGCCCATAGACACCTGCAACGTAAATGCCGCCACCCACCTTCCGACATGAGTTGTAAGGTCTCAGTTTTAACAGTACAACGGCTGCCCCGCCCTTCAGGCCGAAACACATTACTGCTTCACGGCAGAAATAGGCAGGGTGGTAGTCATGCGGACTCACAAGATATCCCACCTATACCTATTTAGAGTTCGAAACCTCAATTTAATTATATGATGTTTGTCCCACCCATCAATCCGGAACACATTACTGCTTTGTGGTAGAAATTATGAGTATCCCAAATTAAGCAGGTTAAATATTTATACAATTATAAATAACCGAATATCAAAGTTTACCTTTATTGTCCCTTCACCGGTTTAGGATTGTTCTTCCAGATGTAGTAAGAAAGGGAGCTGGCATATCCGAGCCAAGCCAAGTATGGTACGAGTAACAAACCGGCTGTCTTATTGACACTGCCGAATGACAGTGTCGTTGCCACTGCTGCCCCGGACAGCACTGAGATCTCAATGAATGCCTGAAAGAATCAAAACAAGTTTTATCATATGTTATGCTACAGTTAAATGTTGACATCAGGTTGACATACTAATTACATCAGTCTGGCTCCACCGTACCCTACAAACTGGGAATCACGATTACCATATGGCCATTTTATCAGAATAGTGACCAGAAGCAGTGTAGATTTACAACAGACCTTATTACCAGAATTTTTTTACAGATTTGCTTTGACTTTTGACATAATGCAGACCTGTCACTTACGTTTCTAATCATAGTTATGTTATAGGTATCTGCTACTGTATTTATAATGTTTGTAAATTATTTGTATTGAAATCTACCTACTGTATTGCATTTTCTTTAAGTTTTTATTATTATTTTTTATTGCCTTTGTAGGCAGACGAGCATACGGCCCACCTGATGGTAAGTGGTCACCGTCGCTCATGGACGTCGGCAATGCCAGGGGCAGAGCCAAGCTGCTGCCTAACAAAAAACCTAAGTTCTTGTGTAGTGAAATTGTATTACAAATCACATGTAGTCATGATGATTTCAAAGTGCTTGTAAGAGCACTCTTTTATCTTTAATTCTGATAAAGAGCACAAGAATATGATAACAATTTCCATTATTTCACAACTTTTTTTTCCTAGTAACCTCGAGGGGTTATACTAGATTCTCCGGGCGAGTAGGTGAGCTCTCGGGGCTCTAACCTGGTAGCGTTGCTAATACTAGCCCTAGCAAGAACGGTGCTTTGCAGTATCTACCACCGCATCGGAAACGTGACCCACCAAGAAGATCCAGAGAGAAACACAGTGGGCTGTGTTTATGAGTTAGTTTACTCGCCGAGCCCTTTGTCCCCAAGCGGCGGTTTCGACGAGAATGGTGACCGAGATCGGGAGACACCAAAATGACGTGTTTAGGACGACGTCGACTGTTTACCATTCGGTCCAAAGGACCAGGTATGAACACACCATGGTTACAGTGCAGTCGCTTCAGTCCATGTCGGCTTGCCGCAATGAATGAAAGACCTACCCACAGCCGGTTAAATTAGATCAGTCTACCACATACTGGTTACAGTACAGTACATTAAACATCCATTTACTGGTGGTATGACCTCTTGTGAGCCGCGCGTGTGTGTACCACCACCCTGCCTATTTCTGCCGTGAAGCAGTAATGCGTTTCGGTTTGAAGGGTGGGGCAGCCGTTGTAACTATACTGAGACCTTAGAACTTATATCTCAAAGTGGGTGGCGCATTTACGTTGTAGATGTCTATGATCTCCAGTAACCACTTAACACCAAGTGGGCTGTGAGCTCGTCCACACATCTAAAAAAAATACCCAACATATGGGCCCTCCAAGCTGTTCCCTAGACCATATATTTTATAATCTTATCAATAAATATTTCTGAATAGACAAAATTTATGCAACATTTCATAGTAAAGAAAAAAATAAAAACATATTAAACCAACCAGCTTGAAGTCCTTCAATCCGAAGAAAATAGGAGTCCAGGACCAGTTGAGTAGCAGCTGTACTCCGTACAATGTGAGAGGTAGGACTGCATCTTCTGTAATATGACAAATTAAGTTCTACATTATTTCACTAGTTTTAACTAGTGTTTAATTAACTAGTGGTCACCTGATGATCAAAATTCTACCATTACCACCAGCAACCTCATAATTAAGATAAATTTCATATTTTATATTAAATGGAAATGTATCGAATTTTCTTTTAGGTTTGTACAGATGTTATGAAAAATAATACAATTTCCAATGATGTTGAAAAGCTAAACAAACAGGGGAAAGTATGGTACTTTTGTCTTTGCCTACTTACCATCTATGAGTCATCTACGAATAGATGACATACTCAAAATCGTTGTATAGATATGAATGACCTTTTCTTGACCGATGAAATATTTAACAAAAACTTTTTACTTAATGTTGACATAACAATTATAATATTAATTTAAGCAAATTCAGAACTCACCAGTAAAACCATCACATTCCTCCCAGATGAGGTAAGAGGCATATCCCATGCTGCTGTAGAGAACAGTCCAAGCTGGACCAAATACCCACTTTGGGGGAGTCCAGCTTGGCTTCTTTAATTCATCATACCAGGACTTTTCACTGCTGTCTTTGCGGATTTGACCGGCAAAAAACAATCCATTGGCCCATCCACCAACATTTGGAAGGATAATTGAACCAAGTGCAGGCCAATTTGCCATTACGAAATCTCTAGAATACAAATAACTTTATTAATCCAATTGTAGTCTTAATTAGTATATATTAATCTGAATATGAAAGCTCACAGCCCCAGCAGGTCCGAAGCATTATCTTAAAGATTTCTAGTCTACCTATGTCAAGATTTTGAAAACTAATTATGAATATGCCTTAATTCACTAAATAATACTCCATCTACAATATTATTTTTCTTAAGTTTCACAAAATACATATTATTACATTCATTATATATACATTCATACATATCTCCAAGGTCAGGAATTTAATTAAATCATTACTTTTTGTTAAATTAAATACTTCATAATTTGAATAGTACATTGAAGGTTATTTTTCATACTTGATTTTTTTTATTTGACAGTCTGATCACAATGGCACATTTAAATTTTACATGTACGTCATCATTTCTAAATGGAAAATTGTTACAAGCAGGTTATCAATACAAATTCTAAAAGTTTATCCATTGTAATGGCACTTACAAGGTGCTTATTGGATAGCAGTGATGGGTTCACTATACTGTGAATGTTTGCAGTTACAATTTATGAACATTGAAGTTAAATTCTTTGTTAGTTCAATGAGTGAAAAAAATGTACATTCAAATTCGAAAGGCATCGTTAAAATCTCATAATCTTACAACTTTAGAAGTACACATCTCAGGAACTAATAAGTTAAATAATTTTTTTATGTTGAAACCTTTTATGACTATTTAAGACCTCTTTAAATATTTAAATTTGAGATACACTTGAGCTATCCTTTTTTTCTGTCACTTCAACCCAATATAAATAAACAAGCAATTCTCTGCATATTCTGTAGCTTTTAGCTGTTAGCTATTTTGCAGATTGTAACTTTGATATTTCAATTTAAAACAGCTTATAGATAAACAAATATAGGTGATGGAGGCTGATGATTAGCAGTATTAAGTCTTGATCTAGAGGCTTAAAACTATTCATTACTCATTCTGGTACAGACTGTAACACATGAGCATATCCAAACATATTATAATTAACTCCCAATGTAAAACTCTTAGAAAACAACTTAAGAGCTAAATCGACAGAATAAAAACAACACAGAGTGAGGCACGTCCTTTACATTCAAAATAAGAGCTTAAGAAATTTGATTGCAAAAAAGACAAGTTTATCATTGGTAGTAAATTAATAATGTGTTCTGTTTACATTTAGGTGGGTAGCTTATTCCCGCTTTGGCTTCAGGAATTAAATATTTAGTTACTAATATGTATATAATATGGTATCAGAGATAAATAGCCAAACAATCTTAAAAAGGCAAGGTTTACAAATAGATAAAAAAGAAAAAAAAGTCGTGTTCATGGTACCAAATGTTAAAATGACCTTTTTTTGCCTTTTATTTGTTTCTTAGACAAATAGAACAAACACATTGGTGAATTAATGTAGTAAAGTGAAATTTGGTCATGAATATTAAATATAATTATAAAAGCAAACTAATGTGTAATATGTATTTATCGAAAATTAAATGCGGTTCCGCGTCACATCTAGTTGTTATATTAAAAAATTGTAACAAATAAATTAAATGTTAAACTATTGATTTACCTAGCTGTATCCAAATTTTCCATTTTTAAATCTTATTTAATAGCAGCAAATTGTTGTCGAGTACTAAAATTTACTAATTATCACCTCTAACTTAAAATTCTCTGTGATTAGCAAATTATGTGATAACATTATCACTTCTGATAATTTGGTAAAAAAGTTAAATGTAGATAAATGTAGAAGTACACTTACTTGGGGAACAGTTTAAATTTAGAAATCAGTGCGGTGATGTAATTACAAGACAGTCGACTCAAATTTTGAAGCGTGAAGCATCATTTGTAAAGATATAGGATGTATTATGCAATAATTGTTATCTTAAAATACACCGGTGTATTTCTAAAAAGTAGAATTTTATAAAGGGCAAATTATTTAAGTACTTACTTTAAAACGGATTATGGGTAAAAACTGAAGAGATGTTATAATGAAATTTAATCAAACTAGACGTTGCTGAAATTTATGTATATCTATGGCTGAAACGGTCTGTAGTTGTAACTGTAAGCCGGGTAAATTAAGTAGCGAAGTGAACGGAGCTTCCACAAAGTTTCATAGAAGTGGTTTTCAAATTAGTCGCATTATAATGGGGAATAAGTGCATCCATAGATTAAATACAATTTGATGCATCAACGATTTTTGTCAACGTGATTTGTGACTGTGACATCTGGTAGATCACTTGATAATAAACTCCGTTTCACGCAGCTTATCAATGATTCTCTAGAATTAAAAGAATAAGGTATGAATAAACTGATGAACTGATTGAATACCAATCGGTCGACACGGTGACGGGTTCATATTGAGTAAACAAACACTCCTTCTCATATGTCGGGATCTGTTCCCACAAGATGCGATACTCCAACGCCACAAGTCGAATCATTTACCCGATGAGTGTATAGCGTCGTCCTCCCCTGCGTGGCAATACGCGAGCATATGCTTCACCGTATTAAAATCCCTAAAGACTTAAGAAACCTGATAGTACCTACTGTATCAGTATACTGAGTTGTCAGGCCATTGGTCTCGTGAAAGCAATATCAAGTTCAAGACCAGATTTCAGTGAACAGCCAAATAAAACAAAATTTATAAAACAATTTTATTATTTTGTACATGTCCAATATTCATCATTTACTTCTCTTCAGCTTATTCAATTCTCCTTGTTGTATGGCCGCCTCTTTGTAGATTTGTTTTACCTTTTCTTTTCTTATATTGTCACTGTAATTACAATATTTTAATTAATATTATTCAAAGGAATCGTGACACAAACTTGACGCATNCCAAATAAAACAAAATTTATAAAACAATTTTATTATTTTGTACATGTCCAATATTCATCATTTACTTCTCTTCAGCTTATTCAATTCTCCTTGTTGTATGGCCGCCTCTTTGTAGATTTGTTTTACCTTTTCTTTTCTTATATTGTCACTGTAATTACAATATTTTAATTAATATTATTCAAAGGAATCGTGACACAAACTTGACGCATGTGACTCGGAGACTAGGACCATATCAGTTATCAGTTTTACGCAAAGTACACAACGTCAAGTGCATATAATGCAAACCGCTTACTTGCCTATCAGCAAATTTATTTATAAGCATTTTATTGATTCCAATTTATTATTATACAGTATTAATCCTTCATTGTGGAAGTTTCGGTTTGAAGGGCGGGGCAGCCGTTTTACTGTAAAAACTGACACCTTAGAACTTATATCTCAAGGTAGATGGCGCTATTTACGTTGTAGATGTCTATGGGCTCCAGTAACCACTTAATATCAGGTGAGCCGTGAGCTCGGCCACCCGCCTAAGCAATAAAAAAAAAATGTATGGAACTTGTGTTCAGTATTTCCTTCGGATAATTGGTACTTGCGGTACCTCCAACACTGGGACAGTGACATCACTCGATACAAATACACCGGTTACAAATTCAAGTTCCTAAGTCGCCCACAATCTCTAAAGCAGGCTTTCCTGAAGTGGGCGATAACGCGCCCTTGTGGGGGCTACAGGCCGAAAGGGAGGCGTTAAGAGACCCAGAAAAAAAAGGGGGGCGTTGTGTAGAGGCTTGGGAGGCGATTTGTCATCTAGGAGGACTCTTAGACACCCACTGAGCTTTTGCTATAGTGGTTTTTAAAGAGGCAAAAAAATGGGGGCGCTAAAAAAGAATTTATTCTCAAAGTAGGCAATAGACAAAATAAGTTTGGGAACCCCTGCTCTAGAGAATATATTAACATATGTTTGCCAATACATTACCTGCGCATCTTCTCCTTTAGCTTAACAGAAGCTATATAGGACTTGTCTCTTCTGATCTCACGGAGAGCTCCCTTCATCTCTTTCTTTAGTTTAGTCTTCAAACGAGCAGCTTCCGCCTGTTCTCTTGATAATTTAGAGCCTTTACTTCCAGTGAAACTGTTGGCCATCATTTAAATGATTAATTTCACAGTGATAACAACATCCTATGTAATTAAAACGATCATCCCTGTTACAATGATTTTGTAATATAAATAATGTTTAAATTAAATCAGAGAATAAAACCTAGTTACACTCAATTTCAACAAGGAATGACGGATAGAATGAATGAATGAATGAATGAATCAAGAAGGAATGAAAATCTATGGTTACATGTAATCGACATATTTCCTTGATTTATGAAAAATTGGTTGTCTGTAAAGTCGGTTTACTGACGATAGTTAAACGTGACAACGTCATAAGAAAATACGCCTCGGGGCGACGTAACGCCGCATGAGTTATGTTTTTTCGTGCGTGCAGCCGGCTTCATCGAATTATAAGACGTTGTCACGTCAAAAATTAAAAATATCAACAAGGGAATTTTTGAAATTCATTTAAAATACTTACACCTCCTGCACATCCGGTTCATACAACCTCAAAGCTTTGGGTCTCTTTTTCTCTCTACACAACGGAGTGTAAGTTTTCATTTCTAAGCACTCTTTCATGTACTGACTTACTTCGGAAACGACACTGGCCACCTTCTTGGGGTACAATTCTGTATCGATCCTGGCTAACAACTTTATGTGATACTCAAACATGCATTCCTGTGCCTCTAACTCATTAAAATTGTCGAAGAACTCCTTCAACATCACCGTACTGATCAGCAAACAGCGGATTTTGAAGTCATCATCTACACTCTCTAGAATCAAATCTTTAGCAGCCATCTTGTTCGCGACCGACATTTTAGAACAGTCTGTGTTTAAATTTAGAATCTTCTCCATTTTATGTAACATAAAAGGCGGGACTAATTGTACTTGATTAAGTATTGATGTGTTCGCACAATAATATAGAATGCCTCTTAAGTAATTCAGTGCGGACGGTACTAATCGTTTTGACAGAACAGTGTATTCTAAAATTAGGGCTGTGACAAAGAATCCCCTTGATATCGAGAAAGCGTCGTCGAATCTAGACCGATTCAAAATCTCGGACATAAACAACAAAGATGGCGTCGTTACCGGATGCCGGAAGTCGGACGTGGGATACAGCAGTGAGATCAATTTGAAAAATATTAACGTGTCCAAATCCGGTATACGTTTCGGGCGTTTCATATATTTATTTCGCTTTTCTACCAACAGATCGACCAAGTACTTTTTTGTTGAAATTTTATTCAGCTTGGCCAGATCAAACATATGAGGTATTAATCTATCAAATATCAGGAAGGCTTTTATAACGGAGCCTTCGTCTTTTAAATTGGTAAAAATATCGTTGATGTGTTGTAGTAAGTGAGCGAATAGGCGACTCAGTTTGTCTTTGTTCTCCTCGCCTAAGCTGGGATCATATGTTTTTATCAGTTTCTGTATGGCTGTATACTGCTGTGAAGGTGTTTTTCCGGACAATAATTCCTGAAAAAATTATTAAAATAGTACATTTTGTTTTACACGCGGGAGGAAATGTCCTACTTTTCTCCCTCGGTGCACATACTATTTTTTCTCCTACCAGGCCGAAAGTTCGTAGAGCACCGAGCCGGGGTTACACTTTTTTCCCTGTACGGCGGGAGGAAAACCGAACTTTCGGCATAGGTAGGAGAAAAATATTATTTTTCCACCTCGCAACCATCATCAGTTATCGTCAAAATCAATGAGTATGAATTGGCCAATGTAGCCTACAAATGTAAAGTACTCGGAATATCTTAAACAGTATTTTGAAATCAAATCCTAAGCTTGTTACATTTATAATCTCACCTTTAAACTTTCACCTTCATTGCTCTTCTCAAACATAGTGCCGATTTCTGTATCATCTACATCACTGTCATCGCTCTCATCACTAGATGATTTCAAATCATTAAAAGCGTTCAGATCATCCACATTCTTACGATTGTTCTCATTAATTACATTTCCATTACATTTAGCTGAAACATTATTTGATATACAATTTTTTTCAGTTATCTTAAGCACATTCTGTTTGTCATTAGATTCTGGGATATCATTTGAGCTGTCTTCTGAAGTATCAACATTATTAATTTGAATTTGGGTTGTAACTTTTTGGGATTCTTTAACTTTGGTTCCCTCTTCTATATTTACGTTTAGTTCATCTTCAGTGTCCTCTTCAGATTCAGACTGTGATGAAAGGTTTTCAACTTCAAGTTTCTTTCCCTCAACTCTGTTATCATTTATTTCTTTTGCTGCACCCTTGTTGTCGGTATCGTTGACATGTTTTTCATCATCAGTAGTCTCTTCAGGTGCATCTTCCTCCGACACTTCTTGTTCATCGCTATCTCCATCATCATCACCGTTACTTTCATCATCAGCATCATCACTGTTTTCTTCATCAGACGTATCCGAAACGCCATCTTCAAACTTCGGTTTTGCGTTTGGTACTGTAATATTTTTGTGAGCATTTAATATTAGCAATCTGTAGATAAGATAGAAGGTAGAGAAGAAAGAGTTTAGAGGTCATAGCTCACCTGAATAATCTTTAAGAATATGTTCTGGTACTAAAGGTTTTCCATCCTTATCATACGCCAACATAAAACTAGCCTCGTCTTCCAACTCGAAATTGTCATCAAGGTCCTCGGCTGACCTGTGAGAACTCACATATTATACAAAAAATAACGGCATCCAGGTGCATTCTTAAATTTTAATTGGAAGTTTCTATTGACAAGTTTATTTAAAAACATTTCTTTATTCACTTCAAACTATATAAACTATCCTATGATTTTGTTGCTGTAATTAGAACATTGGCTCTCACAACAATTTTTCAAACATCTTTGGACATGTTTTTATCAACTACAATACCTATTGTTTTGTTTTATAAGTATATTGGTATATACACATCAGCACCAGTAGGGAAGATCCTAGTTTATCATCATGAAGTTGTCATAGCTTAAAGGATAAGACTCATTACTGAAGATGGGCAATTTTTTTTTCGAAATAAATGTGTATTTAACACGTTTTTATGACTGACATGATTTTAACTAACCAAACACAAAAGACATGATGTCATTGTGGCCTTACATACATCAGACAAATAGCTGGTTTGTAATTAATCAATGAATATTTCACCTGTGTTTAGGAGCAGGTTGTTTAACCCTCACAGGTATTACTTCATCATCTCCCGTCATTCTCTGTTGTCGTTCTCTCTCCCACTGCTCTAACTTTTCCCTCTCTTCTTTTGCTTGTTTCTCGTCGCTTTTTAGGGCATCTGAAGGCTGTAAAATAAATTTTATTACATTCACAAAAAAATTGACTATGTTTTTTTTTTTTGGTATTGTAGAAAGAGTCCTGTCGTTTTTTTTTTCCTCCCTATTCTGATTGTCTTGAGAGACCATTTCAGCGTAGCCTTAACAAGTAGGTGAGCTCACAGTGCACAAACCTGACGACGTTACTAACACTAACCCTAGCAAGAGCAGTGCTTCGCAAATCTATCACTGGATCGGAAACGCTGCCCACTGAGAAGATCCGTGAGATACTCAGTGGGCTGGGCCCAGTTGATGGTAATGCAGTCCCAATCACTCATCGACATTATCTTTGCCAGCAATCAATATGAATGAACATACCGTTCCTCTCTTCTCAAACTTCAACTCTCTCATCATCTTATCATAATCCTGACTATTCTTTTCTGCTTTATTCAGCACTTTATCAATAGCAGACTCTTCTTCTACTCTCGGTCTCTTAAAAACAACCGGTTGAAGATCTTTCCATTCACTATCTAACTTTTCTGTCAAATCTAAAGTCTGTTCTTTATCTTTCTGCTTCTCTGCCTTCCTTTTCTTTGACTCTGCTATTAACTGCTCTATTAAATCTTTGTGAGATTTTGCACCGTCTTTTGAGTCAGTTTTTGAAAGCATTCCTCCACCAAAGTGGCCTTCAGCAACAAAGTCATCTGTAAAAAATATATTTCTTCAAGTTCTCTGATACATATGACAGAGCAGGTTATCCTATACAATAAAGTGGAGGCATTGAGCTCATGTGTGGCTAACACCACTTAAAACATCAATTGTTTATCCTATTGATTCAATACGGTCAATAACCTTTGAAATTTACATATCATATAAGGCTATTAAAATGTAAACTGATAAGAGGACATTACACATTGGCTGGAATGTTTTATGAACCTAGAGTTGAAACACTTCTCACACATGACTGCATTGTTACACCAACTTACAGTCTAGTCCACCATATGCCTTTCCTTCTTCATCTTCATCATCAGATCTTGGATCATCAAACTTTTCTATTTGCTCCAACGTTTGGCCTCTGTAACCATAAATAAATACTTTAGTATTAAAAAAAATTATAATGTAAACATCTCAATAAGGAGTCAAATTCGATCTGGATATTAAGTCAAATACTAATATCATAAAACGTAAACAGGAATCTAAAAACATTTACCTATGTGTTAATATCTCGTCATCTGCCAAATTGTATATACTCTTTTTATTGTGTTGTTTCACTCTTTCAGCGGCAAACCTCGCANAAATAAATACTTTAGTATTAAAAAAAATTATAATGTAAACATCTCAATAAGGAGTCAAATTCGATCTGGATATTAAGTCAAATACTAATATCATAAAACGTAAACAGGAATCTAAAAACATTTACCTATGTGTTAATATCTCGTCATCTGCCAAATTGTATATACTCTTTTTATTGTGTTGTTTCACTCTTTCAGCGGCAAACCTCGCAATCATTTTATCTTCAGCCGACAACTGGTTGTTTTTCTCACCAATACGACGATCAATAAATGTGTTCGTCTTATTCATCAGCTTCATTTCTGTGCCCAATGTCTCTTTTCTCTAAAACGTTCATTAATCATTGTGGTTACATTATTAAAATATTTTTAAGTACACCCTTGTGAGATAGCTGATGTTCTGTAGCTGAAAAGGGATTAAAATTACCACCTTAGCTAAAATTCATTTGCTAAGCAGTAAATAGAAAACTTTTTTTCAAAATTCTTCAGCATTTTACTTAGGTTTTTTGAATTTAGAATAATTTTTTTTTTATTGCTTATATGGGTGGACGAGCTCACAGCCCACGTGGTGTTAAGTGATCACTGGAGCCCATAGACAACAACTACAATGTAAATGTGCCACCCACCTTGAGATATAAGTTCTAAGGTCTCAAGGTATAGTTACAACAGCTGCCCCACCCTTCAAACCGAAACGCATTACTGCTTCACGGCAGAAATAGGCAGGGTGGTACGTACCCGCGCGGACTCACAAGAGGTCCTACCACCAGTAAATTAATTTATGAATCAAGACAAATTCAACAAAAAGCGTATTTTATGCTTCGTTATTTTTTTTTACAGTAAATAATGCGTTACCTTCTGTACAGCTTTAGCTCGAGATACACCAGGCAAACCTTTATCATGCTTCGATTTCTTCCCCAAAACTTTAATTTTTTCACGATTCACATGCACCTCAAACGGATTGATTTTCTTTTTGTTGATCTCTGCTTTTCTCTTACTGTGAACTTTATCAGCTAGTCCTGAATTCCGCTTGTTTTTAACTTTTGCCATTTTATTTCATTTATATACTGAAATAATCTAAATTGTAATTAAAAGACCACAAGGCACTCGTACGACCAGGTTATGTTGTCTGATAAACATTTGTGATTTGACACTGACATTAATGGTAACTATTTTTTCAATACAAGAAAGTCGAAACATCAAACCATACCTCATAAAATGTGGGTACAGAGAGAAGAAATGTAAAATTAATTGAAATCTATAAAACAACATTCAATGTCGATTGGGTGACTAAAAGCCACCACTGATATCGTCTACAAAGCTGGAAGTAGACTTATATCGTATAAGATTTTCTAACCGAGGAGTAATGCAAGTATGTGTAAAATTATTTAATAATTTTATCAAAAAAAATATCACTGTGAGCAACCAATTAATGATAATGACAAGTCTCTAAAGTCAAGCCAAGTTTCTAAATCAAGCTTTAGAAACGAATTTATAACAAAATTGAAACCATTAACTACATAATGACAATTGTATTTTTTCCGTTTTGCCATCTTCAGAGATAACTAAAAGATTAGCTATGTTGTAAATTTGTTATGATTGCGTCACTCATATACTCCACTCATAATTATCATCAATTTACAGACGTCTATCATAGGTTCACCATAGCATTCAACCAAGACACATCGTCACTAAATACAAAATACCCTACAGAAGCACTAAGCTCAGATTAGTCTGGCAATAATGTTTGTCAAAGCCCCAAATCTTAAGTTTTCTCATAAAAACAATATTTTTTACGAGATAGGACATGAACAGGGCTCATTGTACAAAATTTAGGATGGGCTTGTAAGAAATGTAATTGTAAATATTATGAAATTGACACTGTTTTATCATTTCTTTCGTGTTATAAACTTTGGTTATGTACATTGAGTGTTTTATGCATGAGGTGACTTTTTAGCAAGAATACCAGGAGCGAAGGTGTATAAAATATTTTATTTATTAATTTCACGTTTGAATGTAAAATAATGGGAGCATAATTGATCTTTACATCTGTAAATGTGAAAATAGGTGAGAAAATTCGCGTTTCCAGTGAGCCTATATTTCGTGATGTTAGTAAATAAAGCCCAAGGTCAGATGCTAAAAGTAGTGGGTGTAGATCTAAGTGTTAACTGCTTTTCACACAGTCAACTCGGTCACACGGCTATGTAGCTCGTCACATCTTAGCAATCCTAGCAACCTGTATGCTTTGGTCCCCGATGGCTGTACGTCTAATGTCATGTATAGAGAAGCATTACTTTAAATTAGATTTTTCTAAATATCCAAATGACGGTGTTTATAAACCAAAAGCTATGTCCTAAAACTGCTGCCCAAAGTCACTATGCCACGCGGACGGAATCGCGGGCACAGCTAGTCAAAGAATATGTGTGTATACATAATTATTATAATCACCAAAGCTTTTTATAAAATCAACACAGGCAACAAGGGCATCGCAAGGAACTATAACTGGCATATTGAAAAAAATTTAAGAAGAAGCCACCAAGATGCATTTCATCGATTCATATACGAGGAAAAAAGTTCTACATTCGGCAACACTTTCATAGTCTGTTGATAAATAAACATATCGTCAAACACAAAGTTGATGCCGATTGGTTGTCTCCTCGTTATCCGTAAACGAGTGATTCCGAACGAATCGGCTTACAGCTAAATTCGTAATGTCTCCTTTTAGCACCTAGCGCGTAGGTTTATTATTGCTCGTCGGATTAGAATTGACTGACATTTTCTGAAATAAAATTATCAAAGAAAAATGAGTGATATAAGTGATGAAAAGCTTAAAACGGAGATCGAAAGTAAGTAATGTTTTTTTTGTAATTAAAATATCACTTTGTAATGAAGAAAAACGTGATAACTCGAAAGTAACGAAAGCGTGCCTTATAAAATGGCTGATGTCAGAAGTACCAGAAGTCACGGATATCCATAATAAGCAATAGTTCTGATTTTAAGGCATTTTAAGTAAAATTTCAAGGGAAAAAGTTGCTTCAAATGTTGATGCGGATCATTATAACAGTTTGCGATATTACCTTTCTTTTTGGTTATGTCCCTGCATTGATGGTTTATTTTTATTTGATGTCATCCTTGACCAAGCATTTCACACATGAACCGAAATTGTAGCAGTATTTTAATGCGTATTGAAGTTCTAAATTGGCGCGCATTATATAGTAAAATTATTATTATTTAAACTGTTGTGTATACAATGTTTATTTATCAAGTAATAAAAGATATTGCGGTCGCAATATTAGAAAATTTAAAACATGCTGCCTACCATTTCCGTCCCGTTGCACGCAGCTTTTTTCTAATTTGTGTTCAGGTTAATTGCCCTGTATCCAGTTGTTGGTGTTTTACATATTTACGGTAGGCAGCGGCGTAACTCTGACCCTAACATTACTGACGTCCTTGAGCGACGGTAACCACTCACCATCAGGTGAGCCGTATGCTCGTTTGCCTACAAGGCCAAAAAAAATTACTAAAAGTAAATATGTATGTACGGGATGTCCCAAAACTCAACTGTAACCTGGTACTTACTTACTTAATGGTAGGCAGCGGCTTGGTTTTGCTCCTGACGTTGCTGAAGTCCATGGGCGACGGTAACCACTTACCATCAGGTGGGCCGTATGCTCATCTGCGTATAAGGGCAATAAAAAATAACGTGATACCCAGTGAGAGAGAATTTCATTTTAATTCTGATGCTTGGAATTATAATCCTGTGGATGCATTTAGAGATATAAGTAGTTTTTTGGTGTTTGAGTTTTCAGAAGGAAATATCAACAAAACATTACAGGATCAATTTGTTGTTCGTTCTGTTGGTCTTTCTGTAATTTGAGATTTTCTCTTCAAAACAACTAATATCAAGTAAAAATTAGTCCCAAATACTAAAATACAGAGGAAGAAAACCTAAAAAATCTGAAACATTTCAATCAACACAATCAAACATTCAAATGGATATGTTGACACAAAAAACACTTATATGGCACCGTACCATATATAACAGCTGTTAAAATATATTTCAAAGATTTCATATATTTGAATCCATTTTTGTGATTTACAAACATTTACCTGCAGATAGGTAGAAGATACTTGTTGCAGGCCAAAAAGTAAAGTTTGTCTAACATACGAATTGCCCAAATTTCTTTTGAATGCAATCATAAAACAGTCATATATCTCAAAAAATATATAGTTTATTTGATCTTAAAAATTTATTCTTACTGTTGATTACTTTGTGTTTATAATAGTATTTTTATAATTTTCATTTGATTCGGTTGGTCTGACTGAACTAGTCTGTATATAAGTCTTGTTATAAAATGTAAATGTTTGAAGTGTTATGTGTTTGTACATATTATGTAAATTTGGATAAAATATGACAAGTGTAGTAATCTCTTTGAAATAGGGTTCCGTACCATTTTTTTATTTTTAAATATTTAAATTTGGTACGACCTCTTGTGAGTCCGAGCGGGTATGTACCACCGCCCGCCTATTTCTGCTGTGAAGCAGTAATGCATTTCGGTCTGAAGGATAGGGCAGCCGTTGTAACTATACTGAGATCTTAGAACTTATATCTCAAGGTGGGTGGGCATTTCGTCGTACTTGTCTATGGGCTCCAATAACCACTTAACACCAGGTGGGCTGTGAGCTCGTCCACCCATCTAAGCAATAAAAAATTCAGATTCAATTAATAAATAAATATTTGATCCTTTGATTTCTTTCTTTGTTCGTATCACTGGTGTCAGAGCGGTCGTGGTCGTCACTCGGTATCATTGCTGTGGGCAGATGTTATGTGCCTCACGAGCAATCGCCAATTCTCCCGGCTCGTGGTGAACCTGGTACACTCATGCAAACAACCGACAACTGCCAACTTGACTTGGCCGTTCCATCGCATGGGCAACCTTCCACACGGTCTGGTGCCTTCTACTTTGTCCTGAACGATAAGGCGCTCTATAGAGTCAGATCTTCGCCGGGAAGATAGTATGCGCCTTTACACGAGCGCGAAAGACGCTGCTTAATGTCGAACTCTTGAAGAATATTAGTGCGAAGTTCGGTCATTGAAATACCACCCCGATCACCGTCCTCGTCGAAGCCATCGCTTGCGACGTAGGGATCGACGAGTGAATTAACCCATAGACACAGCCCACTGAGTTTCTCGCCGAATCTTTTCAGTGGGTCGCGTTTCCGATCCGGTGGTAGATTCTACGAAGCACTGCTCTTAGAAGGGCCAGTGCTAGCCACAATCCCGGTTTGAACCCCATGAGCCTCTCAAGGCTATCAGCATAAGTATGGAGAAAAAAAAAAGAAATACTAAGGATTCATCCCCAGCACCACATCTCGCTAGAGTGTATTGGAGTGATGTAGGCAAAATAAAAGAGAACTGTTCAAGTCGACAATTCGTGTAATACTGTCAATGTATATTTAGGTCATGACGTCTTACGTAGCATGGGTGAATGAACTCCTCAGCAATGGACTCGAACTGACTCCCAGCTGCTCCACCTCGGTCCCGGCGCCCTGGATACCCTCTAATCATAAGGCTTGAGCATTCTCCCGGCTCCCGGCAGCAACACCCTTTTTCTGTCTTCTTCTATTGTTGATTGATCTTCTTTTTCTTCACCTACCGCAAAGCTTACGCCTCGGTAGCGTATAAAAATACGGGGAAAACAAAAGTTCGTACGAGCCGGATCTTTGTTGCTTTGGTGATGTTTATGTTCTTCCATATTTTCTTAAGCCTGTCCACTGCAGTTCTTAGGATCGCCATACGATCCTTTGATACTGATACATTAGTACTACATAAAATTACAAGCAATCGAAAAAAAAAAAACTGGACTGGTGCCAGTAAAATTATCGCCTCCGGTATCGGTTTGTAGTAAAGACTAAGTGCGATTTATCTATACCTTCTGTACTTCTATACTAATATTATAAAGAGGAAAGATTTGTTTGTTTGTTTGTATTGAATAGCGACCCGCCTTCGCTTCGCTTCGGAAACTGTAATTTATTATTGATTTCTCCACTATTTAATGTATGTTATTATACATATAAACCTTCCTCTTCAATCACTCTATCCATTAAAAAACACCGAAACAAAATCCGTTGCGTAGTTTTAAATATTTAAGCATACATAGGGACAGACAGATATAGGGACAGAGAAAGCGACTTTGTTTTATACTATGTAGTGATACGTCACGATAATATGCATAATGGGTTCATTTTATCGCGATTCCCCAAAACTGAAATAATTACTTTCAACAGAGACAAGTAAGTTTCTTTGCCAATATTAATACTCATGGAGATAATGGTATGTTCTGTCTTCATGCCATCAACCGTATTGTAGTAAAAGAACTCACGATACCTAGTGAGGCTTTACATGAGCATATATGGGTACTTATTAACTATACCTGCGGACTTCCATACACTCCTTTCTAGAGGGTATAGATATGGTAGAGTCACTACACGGGACGCAAAGGACATGTTGATTTGCCGCTCTTGAGAAATTTCCAAATTTCCCGACAGGTTCTTCCGATTAACCTAGAATTCGACAATACACTTCCTGGCACAAAAATGATGCTACCAAATTCTCGACCCATTCTCTTCATTTGTAACCCACATTGCCTCTTCCTATGCCCTAATTCAATTTTTTAAGCTACTGTTCCCAAATCTTAAGTTTTCCTTGAGATTTTACGCACATACAGTATGTTCGCAGTACTCATGAGTTCCAATTCGAAAGGTAAGTTAGCCCTAACACAAGCAAGCCCTTTTGTCTGGTGGTAAGACCTCTGGTGAGTCCGCACGGGTAGGTACCACCACCCCTCCCATTTCTGCCGTGAAGCAGTAATGCGTTTCGGTTTGAAGGGTGGGGCAGCCGTTGTAACTAGACCGAGACCTTAGAACTTATATCTCAAGGTGGTTGGCGAATTTACGTTGTAGATGTCTATGGGCTCCAGTAACCGCTTAACATTAGGTGGGCTGTGAACTTGTCCACCCATTTAAGCAATAAAAACAAAAAAAAGTTGCCTCTTGTCACAAGTTGGCTTCCGACATACTATAAAGTCTATATAGGCCGATCACTTACCCGATCTAGTGTCCAGAACAGATTATGAATGAATTTGAACACTTGATCACCAGAAATACTGAAGAATGCGGAACTATCGAACACATCAACGAAGAAGGTCATCAAGAAACTTGAAGAGAATTTAGGAGTGGATCTGTACAGCAGGAAGAAGCAGATCGACGATATGGTCATGGCGTACGTGAACAGCATGGAGTCTGACGACGAGGACGAACTGGTTATGGACGAAAAGAAGAGGGACACCGAAGAAGAAGAGGACGAAAAGGAGCCAGAAGAAGAGGAGAAATCGGCTGATGACAGCGACGACGATAACTGGGGAAAGGTATTTTTTTTTATTGCTTAGATGGGTAGACGAGCTCACAGCCCACTTAGTGTGAAGTGGTTGCTGGAGCCCATAGACATCTACAACGTAAATGCGCCACTCACCTTGAGATATAAGTTCTAAAGTCTCAAGTATAGTTACAACGGCTGCCCTATCCTTCAAACCGAAACGCATTACTACTTCACGGCAGAAATAGGCAGAGTGGTGGTACCTACCCGCGCGGACTCACAAGAGGTCCTACCATCAATAAATATATGGTAATGGTCAAGTCATACTTTTTGATGGCGTGACACCGCGGATCCTGACGACATCCAGCTTTTTAAGTCAATAGATACAATGATGCTTTGATGCCCGTTAAGTTGTAAGCGGCTACCGAAGTCCATACATTAAAAAACAAATGCTTGAGGTCCCCTCTTGAGACATGAGGTCGGAGTCTCAAACGCATTCGAATAACGCAGGTTATATCCTACACGTGATCTCTTAAGAACCCAAAGTCCTTCGGAACTCGCTTAGGTAAAACTAAATCGCCTTCATACCACTTGTAACACCATAGATCAAATTTAATTTTATGCTCAATTCAAACGTTATTAAGACGCTTGGCTTGTATTAGTCAGATTCGTATAGAGTCTATAATATTATCTCACTAATTCATTCGTATACTGCACTTTTTACATAGGTACTTTATGTCGTAAGATTAATTTGGAAGACACGTTACTCTATATAATAATTTTAGTAATTTTGTATATGGACCGTTTATTTTGAAAGTGGTGTAAGTCCATTTTTGAGAAAAATGAGCTATCACGTAATTCATGCTTAATTTAATGTAATTTTTTTATATATAACTCTAGTCCGTGTTTCATTTCTCAAATAAATCCCATGTTTTGTACAACTTCTCGGTCGGTAAATGAAATTGCATAATCATCGATTATGAAAGTGGTGTAAGTCCAATTGACAGAGGTAGGTGGCATAGCCAGACCTCATATGATTTGCCTGTATTTAAATCAACAAATATAGTAAACTTTAATTTTCTCGAAACAAAAGAAAATGGACTTACACCACTTTCAAAATAAACGGTCCATATCATGACTAGAATAATTATGCAGTTTTTATTTATTTATTGCTTAGATGGGTGGATGAGCTCACAGCCCACCTGGTGTTAAGTGGTTACTGGAGCCCATAGACATCTACAACGTAAATGTGCCACCCACCTTGAGATATAAGTTCTAAGGTCTCAGTATATAATTTTTTATTTCTTTTTGTTTGGTATACATGTAATTTTTTTTATGTTTTGAAACTGTAATTTTTTTATGATGTCCTTGGTCCGCTTTTATTTGTCCGCGACTATAACATATATCGAGGGGCGAAATGCTATTTTGGTTTAAGCAGCATTTCTGCAACTTTACATGAGAGCCATTTAAAGTTTAAAATGTGGAAAAAGTATCATAACAAAAAAACTTCTTCAGGTATTTTTTTAATGACGTAAACTTCATTGAAGTTCAATTAATGACATCGAATTGTCTATACTAATACTATAAAATAAAACGGACCCTTAAATAATTACAAAGATAAATGTCGCGTATTAAGTGAAATGACGCTTTAACCAAATACAAATCAAAACAAATCAAAAAAAAATATTCAGCATAAATGAAAGTACATACTTGTTGAACGTTAAAAAGAACTACCGCCAATTCACAAGAACTAGCCTCCGTCCTGAGAAGAACTGGCAAGAGACTCAGCGGGTATGTCTTTTTTTAAGCTATTGCATAGATTTTATCGCGGGCCTTGAGCGCGACGACCGAATCATGAAATTCCGTAACGAAAAAAACCTTACACCCCTCACTCCGCCTACCATGTAGCTCGCGTTCAACACATTCAAACGTTGCGCTTGTGTAGTGTTTGTGAATAAGCGCGTGGCGTGACGTCACACTGCATGCGCATCATGAAAAGTCTGCCCATCTCTCTCTCGCGCGGTCTAGCTTATGAGTGTGAAGGGGACTGTTAAGGTTTTGCTTTTATTAATGTTTAATATAGCGTGGTCTTGTTTTATTATTGTTTTAATATTAAATTATCATTGTCTAATTATAATTGCATAAGTTGATAAAAAATGCTATGCAATAGCTTTACCGCGGCAGTTCCCAAGTGCCACAGGTTTTTTTTTATTTTAATATTGCATTTACAATGAGTATTATAACGTAACGGTTATTGCAATATTGAAATGCCCGGAGCGAGCAACTCATTCCCACTTTGTGCAATCTTCTCTACCCTTTCACCCCTCGATATATAAATTATGGAATTTATTTGTTGAAAGTCTTTAAATCTCGCAGCCGACCCGCAAGAAGAGGAAAGTAGAAGAGAAGAAGAAGAAAGGGACAGCGAAACCCAAAAAGGTGCGTTTATCAGATATTTCATATTTTTGCTCTAAGAAATCAAGGTGCTGTACCATTAGATCAGAACTTACAGCCCTTCTGGTTGAAGTTCTACCGTGTCTTACTATGTTTTTTTATTGCTTAGATGGGTAGACGAGCTCACAGCCCACCTGGTGTTATGTGGTTACTGGAGCCCATGGACATCTATGACCTAAATGCGCCACCCACCTTAAGATATAAGTTCTAAGGCCTCAGTATAGTTACAACGGCCTTCGAACCGAAACGTGGTGGTACCTACCCGTGTGGACAGTTTTGTAGGCAGCGGCTTGGCTCTGCCCCTGGAATTGCTGAAGTCCATGGGCGACGGTAACCACTCACCATCAGGTGGGCCGTATGCTCGTCTGCCTACAAGGGCAATAAAAAAAACTCAAGAGGTTCTATCACCAGTAATTACGCAAATTATAATTTTGCGGGTTTGATTTTTATTACACGATCTTATTCCTTCACCGTAGAAGTCAATCGTAACCATTAGGCCACGACGATTTAAAACTATCGTGAAATAAAAATTATAGTCTGCATAATTGCTGATGGTAGGGCGTCTTATGAGCCTGCACGGATAGGTACCACGAACCTGCCTATTTTAGCCGAGAAGCAGTAATTTACTGAAGTTCTAAACAAAAAAATCAACGCAGACTTTAATAAAAAAAATTGAAGTGTGTTGAGCCGTTTGGCAGTTGGTCTAGCTGATGACCGCATGCATTTACCACAGCTCATCCGAAGGGCCGTACTGGTAGTAAGACCTATTGAGAGTCCGCACGGTTAGGTACCACCATCCTGCCTGTTTCTGCCGTGAAGTAGTAATGCGTTTCGGTTTGAACGGCGGGGCAGCCGTTGTACTGTTTAAAAAAGTGAGACCATACTACTCATGCCTCAAGGTGGGTGGCGGCATTTACGTTGTAGATGTCTATGAGCGTCATGATAATCGCCTTATCGTTGCCGCTGCTGACTACTCCCCGAATCCTGATCACGCAGGAGCCAGTCACCGTCAACGCCCTAGACACGTCCTTATGGATCCATCAGATCCAAAATAACCTTTGCATTAGACGCCTTCAGCTCTAACTCTAGGAGCAGGCTTAGGGACCCCGGTAACCGTACTCGTCGAACTTGACAAAGAGTTCGACGTGCAACCTAACCCATGAATCAGCTCGCTGAGTTTCTCGCCGGATCTTCTCAGCGGGTCGCGATTCCGATCCGGTAGTAGATTCATTCGCGAAGCAGCTGCTCTTGAATTATTAGGTCTCCTTCGGAGGCGCTCGGGCAGTTGTTAGCAAATCCCACCCTTTGAGCTGAGCCTTTGCTCGCCCACTTGTCCTGGTGAAACTGGAAAGTCCTCAGGGCCACCAGTAAAAAAAATTTTTTTTTATGAAAGCTCTAACCCCAAGCCTTGATCATCCACAAACATATTGCAGGAGAAAAAGAAATCGGGCGGTACAGGTAAGGGCAGTGGCTACACCCGCGCTTACAAACTGTCGCCCGCTCTGTCCGAGCTCATGGGCGCTGAGGAGATGCCCCGGCACGAGGTAGTCAAACGAATGTGGGCCCTGATCAAGGAACGTAACCTTTACGATCCGAACAACAAGCGCTTTGTGATCTGCGACAAGGACATGCACAAGGTCATAGGGATACAAAGATTTAGGGCTTTTGGAATGATGAAATATTTAAAAACCCATTTCTTGGACTGAACTATACATACGCTTTTACTGTATGATTGTATGATGAGGTTTTTTTTTTTGAACATTTTGCTAACATATTACTCAGAGGTATCTATTTATCGGAACGGTTTTGTTTGGAATGTCGCACCTTTAAAATTATACTCATTTTGAAATATGCAGTAGGCAGCGGCTTGGTTGCAGTAGGCAGCGGCTTGGCTCTGCTCCTGGCATTGCTGAAGTCCATGGGCGACGGTAACCACTTACCATCAGGTGGGCCGTACGCTCGTCTGCCTACAAAGGCAATAAAAAATAAATTGGATTTCGTCTTTAATTCAAAAATTTACCTAGAACGACCCTTTTCAACGACTTTTAGTAATCAAATGACCATAAGTAGCTTATAAAAGGACAAAGCTATCTATCGGTCTCTTTCACTCCGTCCCCTTCCTCTACGTTTTTTCGGTTTGAGAACTTTAATCGATGTTTTCCAAAAAACACCCCATTTTTTGAGTTGGGTCTTTATAATTCTAAAGGTGTGATGTCATATTTTCTTCGTAAACTTTGTTTCTGATGTACATCATTTTTGACTTATAATTGTTTTGCATTAATCATTAAAATTAACAGCAAATCTTGAGGTGATAGAATGTAACAGCATATCGTGTCTCCGGAGCTAATTAGGAATTAAGTAAAAATTTAATAATTGTTTTTTTTGTTTTTCTTAATGATCGTATTATTGTTTCTGAAACAAATATTATCTTCTCTGTTTGACGGGTCTTAAAGTAGGGGCGTACAGTCGGGCCCAAAAGTCAGCGACTTCACTTTGCCCGTGAGTTGGGCTATTGCATTTCTTATTCACTGTTGTATTTTCACTCGGCAGAAAATTTGGGCAACATGTGTATTGGTGATATCATGTTCTTTGAAAATTTCAAAATCGCACGAAAATTGTAGACATGGTCGTATTAATTGGCCTTGTTTAATTCGTTTGGATTTTATGAACGTTCCTCATTTAGCCTCTGCAAGGCAAACTTTTTGGTGAAAGCCAATATCAAATCGTGAATTAGTAGCTCTGCGTAATTAAAGTTTAGTTTATTTAGTAATTATCGCATTGCGATGGAAGACAGGGTCGCTGTTTGTCCTTCATAAGCAGCTCGCAACTACACACGTCGACGCTTAGAAAGGCACCGCCGATTCGGTTTTGTATAGCGTCGTCTCTGTCATACAGATTAGTTGCATTAGTTTGTCGAGAGCATCCTCACTAAATCAATTTAATTCATTTGATGCTCTGTCCCTTTCCGTCGCGTTCTGTTTGCATTCATTTATTTCAGAAACAAAATTTCATTAAGGCATTACCTTTTACTCAATCAATATTACCTTATATTCATCAGTTTGTACTGATTTCGCATACATTTTTATCACGAGTGTAGCATTTAAAACTGTTACCGTGGAAAAAGAAAGAAGGCCATCTGTATTAGGCTGCTCTCATTCCGATCGTGTATTTTAAGAACACAGAGAAATGGGCTGATTCGTGTAAAACGGCCTTAGATTTGTAAGACTTTTAGGGGATAAGTGTATGTTTAAGTAGGGTTGTCTGCAGCGTGCTTATTTCAGTCAAAACGCTCAATAATATAAGCTAGTCACTCTCTAACTTTCAAACGAAAACAACGCACAGAGAGCCTGTTTATTGAGTTTTTTTACTAAATAAGCTTTAGACTAAAGATATTTTTATTTGATAAATATTGTCAAAAAAACTTAACGTCGTGACTGTACTAGTAATTTGTCTCTTTCGTACACTGACGTACAAGAGTGCCAGCGAAAACACAATATTTTTATGGCGCCAATGACCCAAGATGGCGTCCCTAGGACTGTGTTGTAATTTGTATTTCGATATAATTGATTGATGTGCATAAATAAAGTATTGTCAGACAATAATATACATTGTTTTATTGATTCAAAGTGTGCAGCTCTATCTAGCATTTAATGGTCAACCGCATCATGAATGCTGCAGCTCACCTTGAGACATGAGGTCTCAGTCTCAAAGTCTGATAATAAGTTGTGCAACCTTCCAAACAATTGGTAGCAGAAATATCCATGGAGGTGATAAACCACACGTAAATCTTAAAGTTCTAGTGTAGTGTAATACTTAAGTAATTTTGGTTTAAGAGTTTTGCTGATGCACGCATTTATTAGTAGTAGTAGCCCCGTCATGACGTATGCAAGCGTAGTGTTCGCTCACGCGGCCCGCACCAACTTGAAGCCCCTTCAGGTTATTCAATCCCGATTCTGCAGGATAGCCGTCGGAGCACCATGGTTCCTGAGGAACGTGGATCTCCACGATGACCTGGAGCTCGACTGTCAGTAAGTATCTACAGTTGGCATCATTGCGCCATTTCGAGAAGGCGGCACGACATGAGAACCTTCTTGTCGTGGCCGCTGAAAACTACATACCCGATCCTGTAGACCGAATGGTAAACAGTCGACGTCGCCCAAAGCACGTCATTACGGATCCTCCCGATCCATTAACGGTGCTTTTAGGCACCACAAGCACCGATCACCGCCCTCGTCGAACCCGTGGCTTGCGACGAAGGGCTCGACGAGCGAATTAACCCATAGACACAGCCCACTGAGTTTCTCGCCGGATCTTCTCAGTGGGTCGCGTTTCCGATCCGGTAGTAGATTCTGCGAATCACTACTCTTGCTAGGGTCAGTGTTAGCAACACTCCGGTTTGAGCCCCGTGAGCTCACCTACACACGTTAGGGTGAAGCTGAAATAGCCTCTCAAGGCTATCAGCATAGGTAGGGAAAAAAAAATTGTTGTAGGACCTCTTGTGAGTCCACGCGGGTAGGTACCACCACCCTGCCTATTTCTGCCCTGAAGCAGTTGCGTTTCGGTCCGAAGGATGGGGCAGCCGTTGTAACTATACTTGAGACCTTAGAACTTATATCTCAAGGTGGGTGGCGCATTTACGTTGTAGATATGTAGGTATAGGCTCCAGTAACCACTTAACCCCAGGTGGGCTGTAAGCTCGTCCACCTACCTAAGCAATAAAAAAACGCAATATCCTTTAATAATTTTTGTCGCGAAGTGTACGTTGTTTCTGATTTTAAGTGCTGATATGACACTGGGACTTAAACCTTCGCCTCACAACCTCTAGTTTCGAACCCAAAAACTTGCAGTGCAACTCAAATTTTACCTTTCAGTCTCGTGGTGGCGGGTAGCATTTACACTATTGACCAGCGTTTCCCAATCTCCCCTAAGTGCCATGTTCCACTGTAACATTTCTAAAATTTTTATGCCCCCTACATAATTTTTGATATTAAAAAATTTATTTGTTCACTGAAAAAATAAATGATAAATGATTAGTTTTAGGAAGAAATCACTATGAAATTGTTATCAAAACACAATAAGTAATATTTCAGAACATAATCAAAAACTGAAATTCAAATTCAAAATCATTTTAATACAGATTTTCTATATTAATTTAGTGCAATTGCCCCCCTTAATTATCAAATTGCGCCCTAGTGACGCGTGGGTCCCACGTTGGGAAACACCGCTATAGACTGTAACCTGGTGTAGCCGATGATATTATTGTCATTAGAATCAGTGTTAATATTCTGGACAATTAAAAAAAATTTTTGACGACTTCACAATGAAAAATTCCCAGTTTGTGATCCAAAATGTAGAATTTATTGTTCATTTATTTAATTACTAAAATGGATGAATGAACTCACGGCCTACTAGCTTCTAAGTGTTAAATGGTTACCGGAGTCCATAGACATCTACAACGTAAAGCCGCCACCTACCTTGAGACAAGATTTCAAACGTCTCAGTTTCTATAGTACAACGGCTGCCCCACCCTTCAAAACGAAATGCATTAATTACTGCTTCACGGCAGATACCTATAGGCAGGGCGGTGGTACCTACCCGTGCGGACTTATGAAACATCCTACAACTAGTAATAAGACATAGTATAATGTACTCTTTGGCCGTAGCTATGTATAGTGTACGACTAGTGTATTTTCTATGACCGTGACCAAGACGACACGCGCCATTTTGAATATTGACAAAACATCTACCAAAAGTCATTGAAATTTTACCTGTGATTGAAAAAAATAACAATTTCTATTTGTATATTAACAATGGCTTGCAATGAAAATGTGGTGAAAAACATAGCCAACGAAGTGGCCAGAGAATGCCAATCGCAAAATGTGGCCGTGGATCCCGATTTCGTCATATACTTAATCGATTTATTACTGTTGAATCCGAAATACGGGAAATTGTTCACGAAAACTATAAACAGAAACAATTTACAGTTCTTCGTCGGTGATTGTGTCGATCTGCTGATACGTGAGTATTCCAACAAATATTGTATTTTAGCTAAGGACCTTTTTTAGAGTTTGGCCGATCCTTAGACTAACATATCTTACCATAGCAAAGGACGTGAACAATAGGGCTCTCCCATAGACACAGCCCGCTGAATTTCTCGCCGGATCTTCTCAGTGGGTCATGCTTCCGATCCGGTGGTAGATTATGGAAGCACTGCTCTTGCTAGGGCTAGTGTTAGCAACACTCCCGGGTTGAACCCCGTGAGCTCACCTACACGTCAAGCCGAAGCTGAAATAGCCTCTTATAAGTACCAGCATAGGTAGGAAAAACAAAAATTTGAGCTCTATCTGTATTGAAGCAGTATTTTACAAACAGTATACCTGGGCTAATTTTGATGGTTATGATACTGTGGTCTTTAACGTTAGGGCCGATACATGATCGCGTTCTGTGTGCTTGGTGGGAGTTTTTTCACGTTCTCTATAGCGTAAAAGTTAACTCATTTTTGTGTGGAATGGGATCATTTGCTACGTTTGCCGCTAAGGGCGCTATTCCAACTGCATACAAAATTGTGTTAGTTAACTTTTACGTTATCGAGATCGTTAAAAAACTCGCACTAAGCACACTGTTCTAAAATGTGAGACAGTCATACACGCTAAACTCACCTCCGCTCGATTGGAGTTTGTTAACAGGTTTTCAGTTTATTTAGCCCCAACGTAATTCGATACTCCAAACGTGTGAGTGAAAGTCCGGCGATTTATCACCGCCCCTAATATTTGTTCTCGCAATATCTGTTAAAGCACGTTTGGCGGCGAATATCACGCACACCATAACACGTTGACAAGTAGGTAATTAGTAAGCGGTGTGCTTAGTGCGAGTTTTTTAACGTTCTCTAAAGCGTAAAGGTTAGCTCATATTTCGCACCCTTAGAATTATAGAGACCCAACTCACAATATGTGTTTTATGGAAAACATCGAATAAAGTTTTCAAACCGAAAAGACGTAGAGGAGGGGGACGGAGTGAAACAGACCGATAGATAGGTTTGTCCCTTTATAAGCTACTTTTGGTATTTTGATTATTAACAGTCGCTGAAAAAGGTCGTTCTAGGTCAATTTTTCAATTAAAGTCGAAATCCAGAAATTTCGAAATAGGTCTCTATAAGGGGCCATCCATAAAGTACGTCACACGAATTTTAGGACTTTTGAACCCCTCCCCCCCTCCTTGTCACAGGTTGTCACATTTTTATAACCCCCCCCTCCTGATGTGACGTCACACATTTTTTAAATTTATGTATGTATTTAAAAATAATCGAGAGAAAACAGCTATTTTCAGCGAGAATGCTAAATTATTAATAAATATAGATCAAGTTTGTAAATTTTTAAAATTTTTAATTCACATACAAACTTTGCGTTTTAGTATTTTAAATTTTAACATGTGACGTCACAAAAGTATTGACCCCCCATGCCCCTTGTCACACGATGTCACACTTCGGTGATACCCTCCCTCCCCATTAACGTGTGACGTACTTTATGGATGGCCCCTAATGCTAAAGGTGCGATTTGTATGGAATGGGATCGTTTGCCTACGTTTGCCGCTAGGTGCGCTGTTCCAACTGCATACAAAATTGGGCTAACTTTTACGCTATCGAGAATGTTAGAAAACTCACACTAAGCACACGGATATCGTTGCTTGTGAACTGATAATCTGCCCCTTAGACTTCTTGAAAACTAATTTACAGGTGGTAGGACGTCTTGTGTCTTGTCTGCGCACGGGTAGGTACCACTACCCTACCTATTTCGGCCGTGAAGCAGTAATGCGTTTCGGTTTGAAGGGTGGGGCAGCCGTTGTACTGTTAAAAGTGAGACCTTTGATCTTATGTCTCAAGGTGGATGGTGGCATTTTCGTTGTAGATGTCTTGAGCTCCGGTAACCACTTAACACCAGGTGGGCCGTAAGCTCGTCCACCCATCTAAGTAATAAAAACAAATAAAAATTAGTAGGAATTCTTACCCTTAGGTGACAGCACGTCGATCAAAACATTAAAGATGCAATTTACAATTCAAACTAATTACGACAAGCTGCAAAACCTCATCGACAAACACTTGGACTCCATCGACAACTGTCTCCGGCCTTTAGTTAACGAAATCCTCGACGAAGAACCGAATCCTGATGATGAAGCCCAAACGAAGAAGTTATTCAGGAAAATATCCATATTCATCATACTCGCTAGTGGTCTGGGTAACCCAGGAGTTATAATCGTTGGTTTTTTTTTCGTACTGTTATTCTCCTATTAGGCAGTTGTAGTTACATTTGACCTAAAATTGCATAACGAAACGCCTGTCTAATTTCCAAAGTCTTTGAAAGTGGCAAATCAGCATTTACTGGAAAAGGTTTAAGAGAAGTTATAAAAAATAATATTTAAAAAAAAAAACAAAAAAACACGCTTTTTTACAATAAGTTTATTTTCTTTCTTTTTCAGTTGGATTTTCTACAAAAGTGTGTTTTTTTTTTTAAACTATTATTTATTTTCATTTTTTAGTTTAAGTAGCGTTGTGTATCATAAATTATTCATTATTGTATTTAAATTCAGGCAAATACAACAGTTTCCAATTTGCTAAATGAAAAAAACAAGGCGCTCAAATAAATTTGTTGTTTTGACTGCCGAAAATAGATAACAGGTCTAACTGTTAAAATATTGATTGGCATCGGTCCTTGATAAGTACGCTAAATTTCGAGTTAATCCGACATTTTGAAGGGGGTCAAAAATACAGTCAAAGATTCCGTTACATACGTACTAACATACGTATGAAGCTAATAAAAGCGTATTATAAACAGCGTGGGATTGTTATCGATTCTCAGAGGAACTAATCAGTAATAATACGTTCTAATTTGAGGCTTAAATTTAATGTCTTGAGATGGGCAGAAGCATCAACATGTTTCTGTCCACGTTCGATGATAATTAGTAAAAGAGAGTCATTCCATCAATAACTACCGCCACCTATAGCCTGGCCAGTGGGACTAGACTAGTCGAAAGCGTCTTGGTTCCGACGACCCATAACCTTGTCTGCACATAGCATATGTCATTTTACAGACGTTAAAGGAAGGGATGGCCGCCTTAGAAAGCGTTTTCTCTTGGAACGACTTGAAGATGTTCATTGCTTTGCCGAGGAACGAAAAACTGACCCAACTGAACGAGCTGATGGAGATCGTGTCGGGAGTTAGGATCTTCAATAGAGACTGCAAGAAAGGTGGAGAAGGGATACCTGATCGTAAGTAGAAATTGTCTTTCAATTGAATTCTTTCGGAAGAGATGTGATTACTGGTGGTAGGACCTCTTGTGAGTCCGCGCGGATAGGTACCACTACTCTGCCTATTTCTGCCGTGAAGCAGTAATGCGTTTCGGTTTGAAGGGTGGGGCAGCCGTTGTAACTATACTGAAACCTTAGAACTTATATCTCAAGGTGGGTGGCGCATTTACGTTGTAGATGTCTATGGGCTCCAGTAACCACTTAACACCAGGTGGGCTGTGAGCTCGTCCACCCACCTAAGCAATAAAAAAAAAGGGAGACATCATTGGCTCTATGGTTGACTATCGTTGAGCGCGGGAGAAGATTTCCTTGAGGTGAATGTAGAAGAAGTAGAATGCATGCACAAAGTTCAAACTGTTTTAAGACCCTACCCAATCATTGAAAAGGATCAAGGACTATATAAGCTGTGTTAATTAGTGTTTTTTTTTGCTCCCGATTATCTCGCGACCTAAATGGTCTTAGTGGCTAATACCTAAAGCTCGTCGATATAATAATGTGAATAAAGAACTAAATATTCTGTGACAAATTACACACAATCATCTGGCCCCAAGGTAGGATTCCCTGTGTACCACGGGACCCAGAAACAATATACTTATATATTAAGGGCAAATATAGAAATTAAACACCTAACCTAACCTAAACAAAAGAGCAAATATACTTATTCATCACAAGAATGTTTGCCTGATGCGAGAATCCACACCCAAAATCCATGCCCCAACAATCAATGCCATGATGTATAAGTTGGGGTAAAAATATGCAGGATGATGACACTTAACCTTGCGCATCATGGCTACTATGGCTAATATGGCTACTATCAAGCACAGCTTTTTATCTTTTTTTATCTGCCTCCGGAATTTTAACCCAGGCATATTCTCATCGCTTGGTACGAGTGCACTTGGCGTCTTATGATGTAAGCCACGATTACTTCGCCAAATATACGCTAAGACAATTCTAAGTTGACGGAAGCGCATCGCGTACTATTTCTTTCTAGTGCCTTTTGACTTGGTGGATGCGGGTAAGGCTTGCCTGACGGCCTTGTCGAATTCCTTGATAACTGTCATGCAAAGAGTCAACACGCTCACCACGGCCATCGAAGACACCGTCGTGATCCAAGATGAAACTGGGAACGTATTGATCGATGTTAGAAGAAACAGCGGACTGACGAAGTTAGTATACGTTATGAGATTTATCGCAAACTTTGAACAAAATTGTCTGTCTATTATCTAAGAATATCCTCTCTTTCAATTAGAAAATATACACAATGGCGTGATATCGTTTACTACAAGCGTGTTAGTTTTGATGAGCTAAGACTGAGCTATGGGTCACCTCATGGGTCACCGCTGATACGTGATGTCGATAAGTTACCGGATACCGGCCGTAAGCGCCACAATATGAATACCGCCCATTTGAGACCTAGGATTGAGGACTCAATTCTATTCGTATAATATAGTTGTCCTATCCTTTAATCCAAAATGCATGATTGCTTAGTGGGAAAAAGAAGCAATAAAAAGGCTCTAAACTTCGTAGATCAGCCACAACAGATGTAAGGCACTTTCAACCAATCATTATGGTCAGTATCCACTTCGGATAGACGGTTGACAAAATATTGTTGTATTTTTTTTTCTACTTATGCTGATAGCCTTGAGAGGCCACTTCAGCTTCACCCTAACGTATGTAGTTGAACTCACGGGGCTCAAACCGGAGTGTTGCTAACATTGACCCTAGCAAGAGCAGTGCTTCGGAGAATCTACCACCGGATCGGAAACGCGACCCACTGAGAAGATCCGACGAGAAACTCAGTGGGCTGTGTCTATGGGTTAATTCGCTCGTCGAGCCCTTCGTCACGAGCGACGGGTTCAACGAGGACGGTGACCGGTGCTTGTGGTGCCTAAAAACACCGTTAATGGATCGTTGTTGTATTGTGTTTCAGTGATGATTACAATGAAATATTTCAATTGTTAGCGTTCAATCGACAGTACGAGGTGTTCACTAGGAAGCTGCTGTGTGACGTGGAGACGATGTTACAGAGAGGAGCGCATTACGTTGACCGAGTGAAGAAGGTTCTCGAAGAGTTACACGATACCGTCAAATATAAAACCGCCGTCCCGACTGTGACAGTCTATGTGCGTTATTCCTTACCTTTAATTATATATTTCATTTAATAACTTGGAACCAGTTTTTTGCCCATTTAGCTGTCAGTAGCTTCAGGGGGACTGTTCTAGCTTCACCTTTTTGTTATTGTTAAACTCATAGGGCTTAGCTGGAAAGAGTCTGGCTTAGGATAAGCAGCGTTTCGTTGAATAATATACCACCTGATTGGAATTGCGCCCACTAAGAATATTCAGCGAGAAACATAGTAGCTTTTACCCCCAGTAATGAATGAGTGGGTATCAATACGATCTCATGTATTTTTATAAGAAAGCTACAAAAGCGAGACAGCCCTTCAACGTTTTTTTAACTTTTCTAGCAATATTTTTTTTATTGTTTAGGTGGGTGGACGAGCTCAGAGCCCTCCTGGTGTTAAATGGTAACTGTGCCTATAGACATCTACAACGTAAATGCGCCGCCCACCTTGAAATATAAGTTCTAAGATCTCAGTATAGCTACAACGGCTGCCCCACCTTTCAAACCGAAACGCATTACTGCTTCACGGCAGAAATAACCAGGGTGGTGGTACCTACCCGCGTGGACTCACAAGAGGTCCTACCACCAGTAAACTAACCAGTACCACCATTGTAATATGGTGCAAATACAAATAATACATAGAAAAAATTGCTCTAAAGTCAATGTTCATTCGTTTGTTCCACCACAGCCACTCTTCGCCAAGCTCTGGCAGACTTGGCGAGCCATGCAAAACACCATGTACCTGGTGTCGACGGCGAACCGTCTCATGTCCGTTCTTACCAGCATACAGGAACAAACGAAGATACCGTACAACGTATTGGATATCATGCTTAGTGGTAAAGAGATACTCTCTGACCAGGTACGTTCGTAAGCCCAAAGGTCACTGGTGCCGCGGTCCACGTCATCTCAATTTTTTTTATTGCTCAGGTGGTTGGACGAGTTCACGGCCCAACTGGTGTTAACTGGTTACCGTAGCCCATAGACGTCTACAACGCAAACGCCGCCACTGAACTTGAGAAAAGAATTCAATTCCGCAGTTCAGTCCCACAGTCTGCGGGATTCGAACACTGGCACATTGCCATCGCGCCCTACGTACAAACCGGGCGTCTTAACCTTTAGGCCAAGACATTTGACGGTTAAACAATATAACTGAGATCTCGACAACTCTCAAAATGAGTGACGGCAAAGACATTGCCATTTGCATAGGCTCCGAAAACCACATAACACCAGGTAAACTTTTCTTTATTGCCCTTGTAAGCATACGGCTCACCTGATGGTGAATGGTTACCGTCGTCCATGAACTTCAGCAATGCCAGGGGCAGAGCCAAGCCGCTGCCTATCATTAAGTACTACTCACAAGCCTCGCCTGAAGGAGGATATGTCATAGCGTTCGGGAAACACCGTGGAGGGGAGCTCATTCCAAAGTTTAGCCGGATGGTACGTGGCAAGACTGTGAAATAGTTTACCTATTGCAATACCCAAGTGAATCAGAATAAAACAAAAGAGTAATAAAAGAGACAAGGTGATGTAATATTAGTGATTTTGACGAAACTGCTTTTATATTTTAAACGATCAACTTTAACAAATATAGTTGCCTACAGGAACGCATGTGTGGGCGCATCAGTATGGAAGACAGATTATCCCTCGGTGCTTTGAAGAATTATGTCGCGTACGATAGCTTTTCCACACCGAACGATAGATACGTCCAGGTATTAAAATTTATGAATCATTTAACCAAAGTTTAACAAAACCCCTCACAAAATTATTCAACTTTTACTTTGTAGGTACCTAGTATTGTAAAGGTTAATGAGATACTTTCTTATTTAGATTTTTATTTGTGTTTCGGTATATTGTGAGCATGCAGGAGTATTTACCACCATCTGCGAAACAATGATTTATCGTTGAGGTTTTTTTTTCGCACCTAAGCTGATAGCCCTGAGAGGCTAATTCAGCGTAACCTTAGCTAGTAGGTGAGCTCATGGGGCTCAAACCGGAGTGATGCTAACACTGACCCTAGCAAGAGCAGTGCTTCGCAAAATCTACCAAGAATCTACCACCGGATCGGATACGCGACCCACTGAGAAGATCCGCCGAGAAACTCAGTGGGCTGCGTCTATGGGTTAATTCGCTCGTTGAGCCCTTCGTCGCAAGCGACGGGTTCGACAAGGACGGTCACAGGTGCTTGTGGCACCTAAAAGCACCGTTAATGGATCTGAAGAATCCGTATGACGTGTATCGTTGACTACAATGACTACCTACCTTACTTGTTATTAGCGAAGACGCTTCCGTTGGAAGGAAAAGGCTCATAGGCCTTATAGAAAAAAAACGAGCAGTTACTAAATTTACCAAATAACTTAAGTTCCTAGGTTTCTGTGCCGTGTGCCTCGGCGTGGGGGCTTTAATCCCGAGCAATATGAAGATCGGCCTCATCAAGTGTCAGGGACGACGTTATGGCTTCTGTAGTGTCAAAATGGCGGCCAAATTCAGCAAAGACCCTCAACGGTAAGACTTTGCTTTAATAGCTTGGATACATTAGAGGCCTGTATACAATCAGTTCAGGTGCCAATTTTAAAAAACGTTATAAGCGCATTTCCAATTTGTCCAGTCTGAGCGCATTTTATCTGATCCTCCAGACCTAGTCTTGGTTCTTTCAGGCACTCCAAGCACCGGTTACCATTCTCATTGAACTTGTCGAATGCAACAAAAGTCGACCTGCGACTTGACCTATAGACCAAACCCACTGAGTTTCTCGCCGGATCTTCTCAGTGGGTCGCGATTCCGATCCGATGGTAGATTCGGCAAAGCACTGCTCTTTCTAGGGCCTACCAAACCGTAGTTGGAATAGCCCTTTAGGTTACCAAGGATTAGGTAGGGCAACAAAATAAAAAAAGTAAAAAAGCCTTTTTTTTATTGCTAAGATGAGTGGACGAGCTCACAGCCCACCTGGTGTTAAGTGATTACTGGAGCCCATAGACATCCACAACGTAAATGCGCCACCCACCTTGAGATATAAATTCTAAGGTCTCAGGTATAGTTACAACAGCTGCCCCACCCTTCAAACCGAAACGCATTACTGCTTCACGGCAGAAATAGGCAGGGTGGTGGTACCCACCCGCGCGGACCCACCAGAGGTCCTACCACCAGTAAATTTGACTCCACAATTTCGAGTACAAGAAGTTTACAAGAAAACATATTGATATGGATGCGCTACAACTGGATAACGAGGAAGATGCGAATCGCGATATAACTCGGTCACTGTGACAAGTGATCCAATTGACATTGTTAATAACTTTCGACTAGTGTGTGATTTCAGACTATTTTTAGGTACGTGAATGAAGTTTTGGAATACGCGAGAAACAATCCCCATGTTATAAACCTGCTCAATATTGTGGAAGATGCTTTTAGCGTTAAAGACATTGATAATCTGATAACGAAACACGAACCTAAAAGTATGTTTTTTTTATTATTAAACTGTGTTTTTTTTTTTATAAATGAAGTAACAGTATTTCCAGCCAGCACTGAACACATTTACTTAACGGAGCAAAAACTATGGAGGCTAGAGGTAAGGAGCACCATTTTGTTTTAGTGTAGGAAATGGAAATGATATGAGTACAGCAGTTTTAAACAGAGTGAAGTGTGGTAGTTTATGACGCTGATTTTAAAATTCCATTAGCTACTATGGCGCCACCTTAATTGGCTCCATTTCAGCGGACACTTTTTAATACACTGAGATAGTCCTCCTTAGTTCTATCCTTCATGGCAAAAATGTGTTAAAGGTCGTAGTAAAACTATCGAACAATAAAGCCAATAAAACAATTAAAAAATCTAATTATAAGCTAATATGTACCTATTTAACACCATTTATTATTGTGTAATAATTGCAGAGTATTGTAGAAATAAAAAAAAAATGCTCATGGTCCTTTTAGTTTTAGGCAGTTTTAACCTTTAGATATTAACCATGCTAGTATATGTATGTGATACTGGAAATGATATTACCATATTCTGATCAATAAACGATAACGCAAACTAAAATAATTAAATTAATATTCACTTAAACAAGTAAAAATGAGTTTGTTTTCATAAACCGTTTACAGCTAAGGTCTCGGATAAGGACATCCAAACAGAAACCCATCCGATAGAAGAGCACATTGAGAGGAATTATTCCTGGGACCTGTGGGAGTGGAAACGTCGAGCGTGCAAATGGGTAAACAGTATTCATTCAATGTCAAACTAATTGTATTCAGAATTTATATATCTCTCTTCTATATGGTTCCTTCACTGCTGAGGATCGCGACTACATGTGGCTTTCCTGCACAGTGTTCGGTCATGGGTAACACGGACCGCGTGGTATTGATTACCATCAACCGCTTTCTTAACCAGATCTGACCATCTGGCTGGTGCCCAAAGCGCGCTTGCCTTCTATGCGACCCAAAATTATGAGCTTCTCTAATTCATGTCTGGGAGACCGCCTGCTGTGTCCGAAGAAGCTCATAACACGTTCTTGGCAGATGGCAGAAAGCCTTTTTTGGATGTTTAGCTCTATTAAAATGGACTCGTTAGTTGTCATGGCAGTCCATGCTATTCGTAACATCCTCCGCCACACCCACATTTCAAATCCATCGTTTTTTTGCCGTCGCGGCTTTTCATGCACCACGTCTCTGCTCTGTAGACGCATATGGTAAAGTCCATTGCCCGCACTTTTATTTATGCACACTCTTAAACCCCAGACACAGTCTACTGAGTTTCTCGCCGGATCTTCTCAGTGGGTCGCGTTTCCGATCCGGTGGTAGATTCTGCGAAGCACGGCTCTTGCTAGGGTTCGTGTTGGCGACATCGTCAGGTTTGAGCCCCGTGAGCTCACCTACTAGTTAAGGTTACGCTGAAATAGCCTCTCAAGGCTCTCAGCTAGGTAGGAAAAAAAAGCACACTCTAATTATCGTTTCAATATTCGCTCAGGCAACAATAGTGAACAGTCGTACGCATTCGACACAAACTGACTACAGTCACCTGAGGTCCGAGATACATTGCCAAACTTTTGAAAATCGCGACAAATCGCTTCAGACCATGAAGAGTGCCGGAATTAATACGATTCCGAATAAGGTATTCGTTTGGGGCTTGAGGGGTCGAATCGGCGATGGTCAGCACGCAATGAACTTAGGCGTGGAACATAATGTCGAAAAGAAAAAAGGTGAGCTTTTGCTAGTTTAGCTGCAATAAGCCACGTCGGGGCGTGTGTGAAAATAGTATAAGTATTTTTGTCAATTATTTAATTTTTATTGCTTAGTTGGATGGACGAGCTCACGGCTAATATGGTGTTAAGTGGTTACCGAAGCCCATAGACATCTACAAAGTAAATGTCGCTACCTACCTTGAGATGTGAGTTCAAAGTCCACTCTGCAAACCGCAACGCATTACTGCTTCACGGTAGAAATAGGCAGGGTGCTAGTGCGGACTGTGCGGACTCACTACTTTTTTATTGTCCCTATAGGCAGACGAGCATACGGCTCACCTGATGGTGAGTGGTTACCGTCGCTGATGGACGTCTACAATGCCAGGGGCAGAGCTAAGCCGCTGCCTACAGTTTGTTCTACCATCGTTAAAATTTCCTTTCCTTGACGTATGCTAAAAAGAAAAGAATTGTGGGATTGGTACAGCCAAACCCCTACAACCGTAAGACGAATAAATAACCTGTAATTGAGTTCGTTGATCTCGCGACCCGCGAACTGCGGTTTTTTTTTAATAGATATTGAGCCCAAGGGCTTTCCGTCTTCAACATAACGAAGGTGAGCTCTGAGGTTCAGCCTCTCGAAAAATACTCAGGGAATCGTTTCACTACACTTTATAAATCCAAAGTAGCATTTAATTTTGATATAAATAGTAACTTAGAAACGTAATCTCCTGTTAAATTAACAAAAAAAGAATTTATAGTGACGTCATTGCAATTAAAAAGCGTGTAAAATAAAGTGTATTATCTATGATAATTTGTACCATGAAACATGAAGATTTAGAACATGATCTGAGGCGGTCATAGACAATAATAATGTTGCCACAATTGTTAATGGCGAGTGCGATCTCAACCGGTTTTGTTGTTGAACTTAATAATTGAAGACATGAAGGGATTAAGTACAATTTTTGAGATTTTTGAGTTTTTAAATTGAGTGAAGGTGTAATGTGCCTATAAACCATATTAGACCTTAACACTTCAGGTTTAAAGGCTATTTTCGAAATGACATGTGATGGAGTTATGTACGAAGAAAAAGTAGAAGTAACAAAAGCTTGTTCCTCTTTTACTCCAAATTAACAAATTGTATCATATCCCCTTCATCCACTTATGTCTTCAATTACGGTTCCTTCGGGCGATAGTTCTCGGTTTATCTATAGCACGAGTGGTGATTCGTTCTCGCTCACACTTTACTGTAAGCCAGATCTGTCTCTTTCACTCAGACTTTTCTCGCACTTCATTATTGTATCTATGATTTCTAGAACAAACAGTCTCAGTGTGCACGTGGCCATGTGCGGGATATAATCGCGACGAATCTACAAGCACCGGCTCTCTATCGGACGAATACGTACAGTTTTATAAGCCGGACCTTGTTGAATAGTAGTATTGGATTTTATGTTATCTTTGGACAAATAAAGAAAAATAATTAAAAAAACGGTGTTTATAATTTCTATTTGACAATTTCCGACGTATCGTTTTTTTTTTAATCTGAGCGGGCTCTGGACAGCGGAATCAATCATAAGACGATTTACTGGATTCAGAACAAATCTGATTCCAGGTGTGGCAGGGGAAGGTCAATGAAACAGAAGAAACATTACATTTAAATATCTATGACTGATCGTCTCGTGAGTACAAAGGCTCCGAACGGAACCGAAACTTCGAATAATACAGTGGCGTAGCGTGGTGGGGGTGGGGGGTGCGGCACTTCTTAGGGGGCGGCAAAATTTCACAATAAATAATAAAAATATTTGTACCATTTCATATTTTTATCGCAATTACAAATTTGGACCGATTGAACTAGTAACACCGTCTATACTAACTCGGGGAATTCCCCGTATTTTATAATAGCAAGGAAGTATGTGATGCTCTGACAATTCAAAGAAAGTTGAATTAATGAAATTCTAGAATTAATGTATAGTATACATCAAAGTGAAATACCTAAATAAAAGGGCGGAAAAACTGTCTTCCGCTCCGGGCGGCTGACACCCACGCTACGCCACTGGAATAATATCAAAATAATAATATCCAATTATCTATTGTACACAATATAATGCTTAATTATCTTCTCAGTCTATGCAAGTTCTGTATGGCGTCTCTCGCGAAAGTTATGTCTTCTGCGCGCTGACGGAGAGACCTCGCCTCCTCGAGGAGGGCTTCGTGTGACGTCACCAGAACTGATAAAGACTTGGGAAGTATCGTATCAGGAATGCTCAGCTTATTGTATTTAGCCTAAAAAAAAATTACATTTTTAATATCTCCCTACTACTTACTATTAGTTCGTGACATTAATATAGTTGCCATTATAAAAAAAATTATGAAAAGTTAATGATCTCCCTATCTTTTTTGTTTGTTTACACGAACGAACGTGTCAACGAGCTTGGTATTAAGCGGATATATGAGCCCATAGATATATACATTTTTTTATTGCCCTTGTAGGCAGACGAGCATACGGCCCATCTGATGGTTACCGTCACCCATGGACTTCAGCAATGCCAGGGGCAGAGCCAAGCCGCTGCCTACCGCAATATCCTACCATAATGTAAATGTGGTCACAACCCCTTGACACGTGAGTTTGAAATCTCAATTATATTGTACCTAGTTTTTATCTTCCAACCCAAACACAGAACTGCTTCACGGCAGAAATAAATAGGGTGATGTTTCCTTTCCTTGTGGACTTAGAATATTCTCCTTTTTTTTTTAACCGGAGAATCCATTTACGTATAGACGGTCGAGGGTGTAGGTAACAGACTGGATTATGTCAGACTCCAGCGCCTCCAGAGAGGAAGAGGGCCACGAGGCAAGGTCCTCCACCTCCCTCAATTCCTCGCAGGAGACTACGCCTTGGAAAAAGAATAGAATACCTCCTACCACCAGTAACTACCTATTGGTGATCATAGGACACTGGTACAATATTCAAAGAGTACTGCAACATATTTTCTGGTGAATTCCTTAGTTGACTTCAACAACATCCATGGTCTCTTCCCAAGAAACCCGTTGATTCTATTCTAGACTTAGACACAAGCAACAAGAATATAAATAGTATATTCCATAATGATATTAATATAATGCATACAGACCTTTGCCTTAGTACAGCTTTCTTCATAAGAAACTACCTTTTGCTTGAGTTGTCTTATGTAATCCTGGACATTATCTGGCCCAGGGTTTTGATTAGACAATGACTCCCTGGACATTTTCAATTCCCTTCTCAGTTCATCGATAAACTTTTTGTTCTTCTCGATCCGTCTCTGTAATTCTAGATCTTTGTGTTTAAGTTTCAGAATCTCATAGTCATCTTCTAGATTCTCTGTAATGTCTTTCGTTTGCTCTAAGGATATGGAGACGTGATCTAATTGGTTTATACCGAGTGATGATTGGCTTGCTGCCAGTTTGTCGAGTAGCTGTTGGTATTTTTGGGGTAATGCGTCAATGCGTATGTTGAGCTTCGCTAGGGTTTCCGATGCAAGGTTAGCTGGAAATTATTAGGAGTAAAGAATGAACAGTTTGAAGAAATGTTTTTTTATGTATAATAACGTTTATCTTGTGTATTTTTATCACACAGAGTTTGTAGACATATTTTACCTCGTGCTCGCAAAATCTGGTATGATCTACCCCTGCCCAACCTTGATGTATCGTCAATACTCATCCACCAATTTGTTTTCCTTCAAACTTGGTTTGTAAAGATCAGAAGGCACCAGCAAATTAAATGTGCCCTGGATAAGTTTGTGAGCAACAGTGGCCATTTAATGTCAGATAGGCCAAAAGTACATGAAAGCTAATTATTTTATCATATCATTTATGGAAATAGTGGATGAACATGACAGAATGGGAAGTAGGATTTTGTAGCATTTAAAATATATTTTTATTAATTAATATCAATTATTTATATATTTTAAACTGTATTGTTACAATATGTCGTAATGAGGATGCCATTCAGGACACATTCTTTAAAAAGTATTTTTTGGCATAGTTAAAAAAAGGATACTTCAAACTTATTTATTCAAATTACATAAAATTTCAAGTGGTTTTATTTGATTCAATTAAAACACTACAGTTGTTATTGGGTCTTAAAGGTCTCTGGCACCGTACTGGCAATGCTGAACTGGTGGTGTGAGTGTAGTTACAACTGATGTATCTATTTTATATCACTTTTGATTCAGTCAGAGTGACGAATGTCAGGTTTTCAGTAGTAACAAAAAAAAATTACACTAAATTGTTAATATTTTATATTTTAACAAATTTATCAGCTAACGTAGTGTTATCAAAACTGGGAAATTTCACAATACTTTCAATCTTCTTCGCTACATTTAACATCAATTCTTCAGAAAACATCGGCCCCATGAGCTGCAGGGATAACGGAAGACCATTTTTAGATAGTCTGATCGGTATTGAAACTGCTGGTATTCCGGCCATGTTTGCTGGTTGTGTGCAAAAATCTTGAAAAGCACATTGATCACGATTATTCTTCAAAGAAAAATCTTCATAAGACGGCGCATCAGACAATGTGGTTGGTGTCAAAAGAAGATCAACTTTATTCTCACCATTGAAAACTTTATTGAAGTCATCTGATATAAGCCTTCGTAGTTTCAAAGCTTTAATGAAATATTTGTTGTAGTTTCTCGTCAATAGAAAATAGTTCCCTGTTAAAATCCTAGATCTTACCACTTCGCTGAATCCTTGTAGCCTCGTTGACGCATACAATTCTTCTGTGGAATAAGTCTCATCAGTTCTAAGACCATATTCAATACCATCATATCTGGCCATGTTGCTTGCGACTTCACATTGATTCAGTATAGAATATACTACTATTGAAACTGAGGAATATGGCAAAGAGACTTGTTTTACAATACAGTTTTCTTTTTCAAGTATATCACTAACGTAACTCCATGTGTTTATTACTTCCCTATCCATCCCCTCACAATGATATTCTTTTGGTATACCAATCTTTACGGATGACATATCAATATCTTGAATTTCTATTGGTTTATAATCTCGTTTAATAGTCGTAGAGTCTAAGTCATCAGGACCTGCCACTGAATTCAATACGGCAACACAATCATCAATATCTCTTGTCAGTATTCCTGGTACATCCATTGAATTTACTAAAGGTATTAGGCCATAACGTGACACCAGGCCATATGAGGGTTTTAACCCAACAACACCACATAAAGCTGCTGGATTTCTAGTTGAACCACCAGTGTCAGAGCCTATTGCGGCTACGCATGATCCGGTGGTCACGGCAACAGCGCTTCCACCAGAGCTGCCACCAGCTATTTTCCAGTTATTTCTTTCGTACTGCCATGGGTTCCGGGTTGGTCCGAATATGGAATCGACGGTACCAGAGCCCATTGCAAATTCGTCTAAATTACATTTTCCTACCAAACAAGCGCCGGCTTTCCTCAATCTTGCGTACACCGTAGCGTTGTATGTAGGAACGAAGTTCTTTAGCATTTCTGAACCGCATGTCGTCGGTATATTACTAGTACAGAAATTGTCTTTTATTCCGATGGTAATACCGTCCAGAGTCTTCGGTTTTCGGTCGACGTAAAGTCGTTTTTCGCTTTCGATTGCGTGACTTTCGGCTTCGTCGTCAGTTATAGTGGTAAAGGCATTCAATTCGATACTCTGTATGGCCTTTTGTAGACACAAATCAACAAAACTTGTCGGCGTTAGTATTTTATCACGATACGCCCTGTGTATCTCTTTTATCGTGTAAGATGACAATTTATTCATTATTTTTGTTAATAAAATAATATCGCATATTCATAACAAGTAGCATAGACAATGCATTACATTACTGAGGTTAATAAAAATATGATCTGAATTACAGCTGATATTAACGCGGCTAAATTTAAAGAATGGTTTCGTTCCTTAGTCGGATTATATGTACCTTATTTTGAATTTATACACTTACCTTCTCCAATGTACTCCTCAATTTCGCGTTTTGTTAAACTATCTATTATTTGTTCATCGTTTTCAAGCGTTTCTCCTGTGACCGTCATTTTTTCACGATATGCATCACAGTTTTTTCTGTTACGGTACATTTTAAAATTGACAAGACGCAATTTTTTATTTATTAACTTGTCCATCGTATAGGCAAAGGGAATATAATTCATAATTCGTTTGCATCTTAAGTTAAAGCCACGTCTGTTGTCTGAAAAGTAAAAGCCCACTGAGTTTTTCGCCGGATCTTTGTAGTGAGTCGCATTTCCGATTCTGTAGTAGATTCCGCGAAACATTGCTCCTGCTAGGACCAGTGTTAACATCACTCCGGTTTGAGCCCCGTGAGCTCGCGTACACGTCAAGGAGAAGCTGAAATAACCTCTCAAGGCTATCAGCATAGGTAGGGGGGGAAAAAAAAAAGTGAAATGAAATAATTGGATGTAGAACGAAAGAATATAGAATTAAATGAGATAACTTAAGACAACACTCTAGGTATCAGGGGAATAAACTCTCGGTAAAATGGTAGGAATTTCCTGTAAAATATTGATGTACACGATATTTTTGACAGCAACCTAAAAACCACAATCGCTTGGGTTTGTTTCCTACATTTATACTTTTTTTTCTTTCTTGTGGGTAAATGAGCATACGGCCCACTTAATGGTGAATGTTAACGTCGCCCTTGGACGTCAGCATTGCTAAGGGCAGAGTGAAAGAGAGATCCAGTGGCTGATTCAGCAAAGCACTGCTCTTGTTAGGGCAGGTGTCAGCGCAGTACCAGGCTGAGCCCTGGGAGCTACAGGTCATGTGAAACTAACATGACCTATCAAGGTTACTAGCAAGAGGCCGGCCAAAAAAATTTTTTTATTATTTTCTTCATAGATTGATGAACATGGGTTAGTTTCTTTTGTGAACAGTCGTGGAGTAGCAACGACTACTCACAACTGAAAACCGTATTCAAACCTCCTTTAGGCATAGTGGTCTCAGGCATTAAGGTGAACTTTATTACGGCGGCGGGTGATGAGTGAGTGCGATAGATGAAGATAATCTCAATTCTCAACCTCAGAGCATAACCATCGACCATGTTGGAATCGTGTATAAAATTCTAAGCTTAATAAGCAATATTATTATTGTTGATTTTGAAAATTTATATCTCATCAGAACGTAATATAAAAAAAAGTTACAGAATAAAATGAAATTGAAACCGATTATTTTTTACTTTCGTATTTTATCGAGCTGCAGTTCTATCCGGTCTAAAGAAAATCAACTAACCAAAACCGTAATCGAACCGTGACTCGAAGCTTATTAGTCGAGATAAATAGCTTGATTCACATGACGAAACCCTACAACATTCGTCAATGCTCTAAAAATTATAGTAATCTACAAATCCGCAGTTGACTATAGGAGGAGTAGTATTCGTTCATTTGTAATTTCGTAAAAATATATTATTCAGATAACGTTAACTGTGTTAAGTGTTAATAAAACAAATTATAAAACAATTCTATATGTCTTATTATATATTTCCAATATAAGATAAAGCGCAATAATGACGCATTTACAATATATGCCGGGTGACCCGAGACTTGTAGATCAATTAGTTTACGAGTTAAAATCTAAAGGAATATTCGATCAGGTAATTTATTTTTGATATGCATCTTGTAAAGGTAACATTTTTGGTACTTTTATTATTAATTCAACCCTCAAGAAGTAAAAATACTTTGTAAAATGTTATTGTAAAGTTTGACATTTCGCAGACGTCCATTCTATTGATGTAAAATCAATTATTACACGAAATATGCTATGTTTTTTCGAGTTATAAAAATTCACAAATATATTAAATGTTTACGTGACTAATACAATAGCTGGTAAATTTCATGACAGCTAAATTGTATCTCAAGTCCTTGAAAAGCAATTTGTATAGAAATGAGACATGTTGAGTAAAATTAATTTTAGTGTTTCAATCGATTTGAGAAACTTAATTAATTGGTTATTTTACTTGAAAGCTATACTGGAAACTCTCTTTTAGTTTAAAGTTAACAGGAGTTATCAAATTACTTATAAAAGACATTGCAGATAGAAAATGGTTATTTAGTTTATTGTTCGGTGTTATCACCAAATCATCTTCATCTCTATATATAAAAATGAATTGCTGTTCGTTAGTCTCGCTAAAACTCGAGAACGGCTGAACCGATTTAGCTAATTTTGGTCTTGAATTATTCGTGGAAATCAAGGGAAGGCTTAAAAGGTTGATAAATATGAAAATGTTCGGAATTGAATAAAAATAACAATTTTGTTTTTCCTTTGATGTGTCCCCCGTCGGACGGATTCCTTTTGTTTGTTTTAAGTTTATTTTATACAAAAGTTTGGGTCTTTTATTTATCACGATTGAGGCACTACGAAGTCTGCCGGGTCAGCTAGTTATAAATAAAATTGTCATGTCACTTATTACAAACAAAAACAAGGCTGGCAGTAAATTTACATAGACCGTAATANAACAATTTTGTTTTTCCTTTGATGTGTCCCCCGTCGGACGGATTCCTTTTGTTTGTTTTAAGTTTATTTTATACAAAAGTTTGGGTCTTTTATTTATCACGATTGAGGCACTACGAAGTCTGCCGGGTCAGCTAGTTATAAATAAAATTGTCATGTCACTTATTACAAACAAAAACAAGGCTGGCAGTAAATTTACATAGACCGTAATAGGTAATTTGTTAGAAAAAACATAGTTTAGTGTTTTGTTAGTGCACACAATGCAAATTTGTTTCTTCTAGTTTTAGTCACTCTTATTGTAAATTCTATTTTTTTTATCTATTTTTGTAATGTAACACATTATAATATATAAAAAAATGTGAGCTATGATGATTTTACTCTGAATCATCTGATTGCTAAAATTGTGTTCCAAATTGGTTATAAAGTCATGGCATTATGAGATAGTACAGCACTTGTGAAGACCTACTTGTATAAAAAACATTTTGACTTTGGTAGGTAATTATACATTTTGTTGTAATGGACCCCCATTGGAAAATGAATTTCTCAGATATTTATCTATAAGATTGATGTAGAATTTTGTAGTAAATGCCAAGATGACATTACTAACAATTTCGCGTTTTACATTATGGTTGACCAAAGTAAATTACTTTTATTAGTTTTCTATTATTCTGGGCTGACAGCAAAGCAGTAATATATTTGGTGTGAAAGATACGTCAACAAATAATGTCTCAAGGTAAACAACAACCATATAAAATTTGTTTTGCTATCACAGTTTCGGAAAGACTGCATTGCTGATGTAGACACAAGACCAGCATACCAAAATCTTCGTCAACGAGTTGAGAGTTCTGTATCTTCATTCTTATCGCGTCAATGCTGGAAACCCGATCTGAACAAGAATCAACTTAGAGAGAAATTGAGGAAACATATCTTGGAGTAAGTAAAAACATTTCATTTATGTTTTCAAAAAAGGTCTACATGATAAAGATGAATGATGCCAAACACCTTGAAATAAGAAGTCATAATTACCTTATTATTGGTTATCTCACTCATAATACTAAAACGCAAGACTGCTCGGTGACAGAAAAAAAAGGGACTTTAGATATTCTATCATCTGTATGCAATGTAGTGTGCAGCTCGCCTAACCTTATATTTGTTTTGTACTTTGTATTTGTACTGCACACCCTAAATTACGACAGTATTACACGAATCGGCGACTTGAACAGCTCTCTTTTATTTTGCCTACGTCACTCCAATACAGCAAATTTATAAATAATCATTTTGTTCATCAGTTGTCCGTGACCATGATTACTTTGTAGCCATCTGTGACAATTAACTATAATGTCTTAAATACGTTGGAAACAATATAATGACAAAATTAAAATACAATATACATTAAAAGTTTTAATTGTGTCTACTCTTGCGACAACCTAAAAAAGTATTGCCGTACATTACTACACTGCATTGAATGCATGCTTGAATCTAAGTGTCATACCTGTTAGACCAGACACAGACAAAGCTTAAACTCTTGAATGTTTTTAGGTGAAAGGGCCCTTTGTGTTCCTTGTCCGCCCTGCCTATTTCTGCCAAGTAGGATTAATGCTTAGGAAATTCTGGTTTGAAAGAAAGGATAACTGCTATGCTAAGAGATTTAGACCTAGCATAGTAACTTCACTTTGTATTTTTATGGGCTCTAGTAACCTCTTTACACCAAGGGGGCCATAAAAACCTTCGCCTCTCAATTAATAGAAACCATACTACCTGCAGATGAATAATAAAAAAGCTATGAATTACTGAAATTGAATAAATTTTTTTTTTTTAATGTTTGTAGTTACATAAAATATTTATTTATATTTTTATCTTATTTAATTTCAGTGGCAATTACTTAGAACAAGGGGTAGAAAGAATAGTAGACCAAGTGGTCAACCCAAAGGTGGCATCAGTTTTTATACCACAAGTAGAAGATTTAGTTTACAACTACCTTGGCATAGTCAGAAAGAAGCCAGTACCTGATTTGAATGAAGAGAATAAAACCAACCTTCTACCGACAGACCTCGAAGCCGTTAGTCCTGGCTCAGTACATAGTGATGATGGCAAAGATGCCACTGATACCCAAGAAGTAATGGATATCGAAGATGGAAATACTCTTGGAACTGATAATGATACTGAGAAAAATATTCAATACCCAAACACAATTGAAATGTGTGTTTTTGAATCGGATACCAGCATTGACAAGAGTTGCATACCGTTACCTGACGAGATATTACCAGAAAATATACCGCAACCCGAAAATAGTCCCCCCAAACTGGATTTAGACAAAATTGAACTACCCAAAGAGCCAGAAAGCATTCAGGCGTCTAAGTTTCATACTGATATTTCAGATGAGGTAGATAGGACAGATAAAGAGTATTTCAAACCTGTCGCGAGTGATGACGATGATTCTAGTTCCGATGCGTCTCTGATCAGAAATATGTCCCCATTGACACCAATTAGGAATTTGAATAACGAGAATTCTTGCGACGCCCAACAGGCTTTCGAAAACGATTCAGACGGAAAGGTAGAGGACAACAAAGAACCGTGCACTTTCAGATTCGCCTTAGATCATAAACCAGATGAGGATTCAAAAGATAACACAGAAAAGTCAGACCGTGACCAGACTAATTTGGCTTTTCAATTCAATAATCAAGTTAATATAAAACCTTTCAACACGCCGGTGTCTGACGACAGTTCAAACAGCAACAACCTTCAGATCGACTACGAAAGCGATGCAAACAGTAAAACTAATGTAGAAAATAAAATACCAGAAACCGAAAATTCTGAGGACGTAAGAAAGGAGAAAAAGGAAGAGAAGAAGAGTAGCAGTCACAAGAGTTCACATCGTTCGAGAGATTCCCACAGGCACTCTAGCAGCAGAGACAAAAGATCTGACTCTAAGTATTCCAGCTCTAGAGACAGCAGCAGGAACGATAAAAGTGATAAAAAGAGTAAAGACGATAGTAAATCTAAATCCAGTCACAGAGAGAGAGAGAAATCGAAGGACAGAAACGACAAGAAAGAGAGCAGAGACTCATCGAAACATCGAAGCTCTCACAAAAGCTCAAGCTCGAAAGATTCTAAGTCTCACAAAAGCTCTAGTCAAAGAAGTAGTAAACACGACGAGAAGAAATCATCAAGTCAAAGAGATAAAAACGACAAAAGTTCTGATAAGAGTAAAGATGGTAAGAGTCGAGATAAGAGAGATTCCAAGTCCACTTCCCATCGTTCAGATAAAGACAGAAAGAGCAGTTCTCATAAATCTGAAAAAGATAGCAAGACTGATGACAAAAGTAAGAAAAAAGATAAAAAAGATACCGACGACCACTACAGCCTGTCTGGTCGAGGAAATGTGAACAGAAGATCTACAGACCGCGACTCGAACGACGGCAGCTCATCATCGAAAGGCTCCCATAACCCGCCCAGTTCCAAGTCCAGTGAAAGCAAGAAAGAGACCAAAGGGTCCACGTCTAAATCTGATAATACATCATACAGTGGCGATTCTACAAGCCCCAGCGATAAAGAAAACCTTAAAACCACCGAAAGCAACACAATGAATTCTAGCTTTAAGCCGGCAGTGCATGTCGACAACCGTCTCGAGCTTCCTGTGACGCCAGTTCCAAGGTTGCCCTTCGTCCCGGATGTGACAATTAAAAAACCCAAATTTGCCGCCAATTTAGAGGAAGCCAAACGATTGATGAAAATGAGGAGATTCTTGGATGAAGAACAGCGTAGGATGAACCAAGAGGCAGCCCTGCTTCTGGAGTTCCAGGCCAACGTAAGACCAAGTCTGAGTCAAGTCTACTCAAGCATACCCGGCCCAGAATTGGAATTTGCTTGCATCACCAATGTGAACCACGAGACTCAGGCTGATAGTAATACAACTCAAGATTCTGACGTACTCAAAGACTTCCCTGATGACGAGCAAGGCTTTAAAGGGTTTGAATGTCCTAAAGTCAACGGGCAACGCGATCTTAGTGATGATAGTGACGTAGAAAAGGATATAAAACATTTTGAAGAGCTGAGAAACGAAACATACGAAGAGAACAAGCCTTTCTCGCAATTAGTTAACGAAATATCGGAATACAGTCGAGCGTCCGAGAGAATTAAAAATATTAACAACGAAAAGAACACCGATAAAATATACGGAAGCAACGAGAAATTGGATGAGAAATATAAGAATGATTCCGACACTTCGATCATTGATAATAACGATGGCGACAGGAGGAATCTGTTCGAAGTCACCATTATAACTGAGGAATTGTCGGAAAACGAAGACTCCAATAAAGAGGATGCCGCGGAAGAAGCTCCAAGCGGTAGACCAGATGAGGAACTGTTTAATTATTTTGCTGAGCACGAAAAATACGATTCGGAAATAGAACGTCACAAATTCGACACGTTCCTCAAGAAGTACATGAAGAGACCAGAGATCATCAATAAGTTANTCGAAGTCACCATTATAACTGAGGAATTGTCGGAAAACGAAGACTCCAATAAAGAGGATGCCGCGGAAGAAGCTCCAAGCGGTAGACCAGATGAGGAACTGTTTAATTATTTTGCTGAGCACGAAAAATACGATTCGGAAATAGAACGTCACAAATTCGACACGTTCCTCAAGAAGTACATGAAGAGACCAGAGATCATTAACAAATTCTACGTAATCAACTGCGACAGATACGTAGAAAAGATCCTGAAAGAGATCTCACAGGGTTTTGGTGATTACGAGATCGTGAATTATCACAAAAACGGTCACATAAAACTGCCGAAAAGTAATGTAATAAAAGAGGTTCATTTGCGAGACGAGGTCGTGTTGCCCGTCGAGAAAATAGATTTTGACGAATCTAAATCTAGATCGCCTATTTTGAGTCCAGTGAAATCGGAATGCTCGTTCGAGTTGTCGAGCGACTACGCGGCCAAATTAGAGGAGATGGTCAACAGAACTTCAAGACAAGAAGTAATGGAGATTATACTGGGCAGCGTAATGGAGTCGCCGAGTAAAATGCCGCAAATCGATTATTACGAGGAATCGACCATATTCTGTGACAGTTTGAAACGTAAAATGGAACCGGAGAGCCCTTCGAATATAACTGCACAAGTTCTGACGCCAAACAAGATCAGGAAACTGAGTGAATCCGATCAGATCACGTCCACAACTGAGGGTAAGGAACTTGTATTATTGTATTTTATATACCCACCACTATACTAAGCCTGACATTAACTGCTTCCTGAAATCTGTAAAGTTCTGAGAAAAAAGTTTGAAGTCTCCATTAAATTGTATAACGGTTATCCTAATCTTCAAACCAGAATGCATCACTGATTCTTATAATAGAATTCACTTTACTCCCAGCATTTAATTTGTATAGTTGGGGTACCTTATTGGATACATTTTGCTCCTGGATGTAATCCTCTCATAGCCAGGGTCTAGTCTGCGATATGATATAATGGTCAATTTGGTATTTTAGGGTTACCAGAGCCCATAGATGACAGAACTGGAATGCAGATACCTTGAAAAGTGACACCAAAGTTTCAATTGCATTGGCTTGTCCGTTTTTCAAACTGGAACCGATGATTTCTTCTTGGCGGAGATAGGCTGCACATAGTGACTCCCTCGCCTCCTGGTTCCTTTGCTCGCCCACCTGTCCTGGTGAAACTGAAAAGGCCTCCGGGCCACCAGTGATCCTTCAATCATAAAAAAAGTGACCCTATGATTGATCCTAGTTGACATTTAACCACAAGTCCAAATACCGCTGTTCTCATTTAGTAAATACGTTTTAGAAACCGAAAAACATATATCAAACAACAGAGTGCAGAACAACTCGAGATCAAAGTATTTGGGCAAAGCGAGGAGAGTCGGACTGCCTCGGCCTAAAAAAAATAGTAAGAAAAATATTTAATGTAATTTTTTTTTAATGAATTTGTATCCAACGCCTTGGGCATTGTTTTTGCCAATGTCAAAGTATTTACCAAAATGACCAGTGCTTAGAGAGGAAAAAAATTACTAAATCTAAATACAAATAAATTTGGTCAGTTTTTAATGTATTTGTTGATAATATCACTAGGATGGTTAGCACATGCGAACGATTTTTCCTTTTAATTTTTAATTGTTTGTGTTTTTGGTTATATTTTTTGCTGCCTATATCTATCTGTGTTTGTTCTTCTTGTTGTAATTGTCAAATTTTGTGTGAAGTCATAAGGTAAGTTTTCATTTATTTAATCTCGCATAGTCAATGCGGGCCGATCATGGAGGTTGACGATCGACCCCCTGGCCGTCCCCCAGATCCTAGTTTAACCTGGAACGATGAGGGACAACATCCTCAGGNGTCCGTCACCTCCTCTCACTATTCCCAGACTCCCGTATTATAAATGCTTTTATTAAGTTTATAACTACTAACTCTATAAAATTATAATTATATGTAGTGCATTATTCTCTGTACATAATCTTTATTATAATATGTAAGTTTATAGTAACATTAATTTTGTGTTAGTCCCAGGCAACATTATTATTTCCAAAATGGGATAGTTTTCATAATAAAAAGTGTATTTAAATAGCTCGACAATGTTCCATGTGTAGCCATAACACGACACTGGCAGAAATTGCTGAAAATAGCAGCAGATTGCCATTATATATAAAAAAAAAAAAAAAAAATGTATTTGTTAACGCTTATGACAACAGAGATGGGTGTTATTGCCAGCGAATGGTCCACCTGATGTTAAGTGGAGCCCGCCTTGAGATTTGAGGTCCATTTCTCAAAATTTATATCTCGAGGTATTGCATAAATTATAATATGTTTTTTGCAAGTTTGATATTCATTAAACTGGGTGTATCGACAAATAGGAATTGTTGTTTGGTTGATTAACATGAGATTATTAATATAATATTACAGTAAATGAGTATATCAATAATGGACAGAATTACTGCTTTAAATTTCAAATTGTTATTTAGAACATTCTCGACAAAGAGTTTAGTTATCATGCTACTACAGGTTTAAAAAAGGGTGGGCCTATTTTACTATATTTTTCACACAATTCGATTTAGCATCATGAACCATTGTCTGCATCTTCTAGGTTGTCTGGTAGTCGTTCTGGTGCCAGAATTTAAAAAGTTCCTAAGTAGTGATTTGTTTATCTATCTATATATATATAAAAATGAATCGCTGTTCGTTAGTCTCACTAAAGCTCGAGAACGGCTGGACCGATTTGGTTAATTTTGGCCTTGAATTATTTGTGGAAGTCCAGAGAAGGTTTAAAAGGTAGATAAATATGAAAATGTTCGAAATAAAAAAAAAATTGTTTTCCCTTTGATGTGTCCCCCGTCGGACGGATTACTTTTGTTTGTTTTAAGTTTATTTTATACAAAAGTTTAGGTCTTTGAATTATCGATTGAGGCACTACGAAGTCTGCCGGGTCAGCCAGTCGGTTATAAAAGTCTCGTCAATTCTGGCCGGCACAACAATTGTTCGTTAAACTCCTTTTGTTGTTGTTCCTTCACAGATCTGCCCCACAGCCCGTCCAGCGATAAGTCGGTCGAAAACTACGAACAGAACGCTCTACATTCGCCCAACGGAAAATTGAAGACGACACAGCGCGCGAAAATACAAAGATACAGTACAACTGACCTTTACAAACCGAAACTACACTATTTATCTCGTAGGAACAATATAAGACCGTGAAGTGCTTGTCATTTTTTTGTAACGTGAATACTCATGAGTGCTCACGAGAGCTCACGCCCGGGAAACGAATACCCAGGGCATGATGCACGTTATGACAGGTGTCGAAATGTCCTTAAATTCCCTGTTTGGTGTGTACGCAGCGTGTGCTCAAGAGTACTCACGGTTGGTAAGCTTCTTAAGTGCTCTGTAACTGTGAATATTGTTGAAGTTTCTTAAATTTTATGCGTTTTAGACTGGATATAATGTATGCTCACGAGTACTCACAGTATTAACCGTTTACTTGCATCGTTAAGGAAAACGGGTTTAAATTTGAAGAATAAGTTTGAACCTGCACGTTCCGCTCTTATTCTAAATATCTAATTAAAAACGCACAGACATCAATCACCTCCCTTGCTTGATTCGAAAAATTTATCCAATTTTAATTAATATATTTTTTTACGATAAGCATAGGAAAACGGCAGAAATTTTTATCAATTTTAAAACGTCATTTTTTTAATGCTTATATGGGTGGGCGAGCTCACAGCCCACCTTGTGTTAAGTGGTTACTGAAGCCCATAGACATCTACGACGTAAATGTCGCCTTGAGATATGAGTTCTAAGGTATCAGTATAGTTACAACGGCTGCCCCACCCTTCAAACCGATACGCATTACTGCTTCACGGCAAAAATACATTTTTTTCCATTACAATATTATTAAATACACTTTCTTAGTTTTATTTAAATCTGACATTAAACTCTATAAAGATTACGAAGTTTCAATTTTCACACATTTAAACAAAAATTAACTTATTTATTTCCAGTTTATATTCAAAATTATGATTTGGCAAACAAATGTATGCTTTTTATAGGTAGTAGGTATATCATACTTGAGTAGGTTTAATTATGGCCGAAGAAAACCTTACAAAAATATATTAGGTTCGTCAAAATTATTGCCGATTACTTGAGATTTAATTATAACTTGATGAGCCTCTGTGATTGCTCGTGTTCATTGGCTCACAGTGGGTCGGGAGCAGAAGTTAATATCAGCCTCCATTTTAACGTACAGATTTTTATGTACAAAAAATATAATATTTATTGTCGTTATTAAGAGTCTAAGAGTCTACCCGCGAGTGAATCTGTATAAATGAGATTTTACGATAAATTAGAAGTAATTTTGCTTTTGATGTCTGATGCGAATGGATGGGATAGTTTAATTAAGGCGCACTTCGTTAGAAGCGATACTGCATGGCTATACTAGTTGGATTTTAGGAATGTAAATAGTTTTGTGAGAGAACATTTCAAGTGTGCTCACGAATGCTCACGGCTTGTAAACCGTTGGCAGTGTATTAAAACTGTAGTCGTGCGTTAAGATTCGTATTTAGGGCCGGATTTTAAGATAATGCCAACCCTGAGCACCGAAAAAAATCCGCCCCAATACTGAAATTTTACTTAAAATTATAGTTTATATATTTTCTTCTTCAACTTTACTAGTTACAACGGCCGCCCCACCCTTCAAACCGAAACGCATTACTGCTTCACGGCAGAAATAGGCAGGGCGGTGGTACCTACCCGTGCGGACTCACAAGAGGTCCTGCCACCAGTCATTTCGCAAATTATAATTTTTGCGAGTTTGATTTTTATTCAACGTGGAAGTCAATCTTGAACATTTATTGAGTAGGTACGTATTTCTTTAGAAAAATTGGTACCCGCCTGCGGGATTCGAACACCGGTGCATCGCTAGATACGAATGCACTGGACATCTTATCCATTAGGCCACGACGACTACTTAGCTATGGTAAGGTATATCGGCATCATGCGGTCTTTGCTCCCAAGATCGGAATTTCGATTCAATTTGTCTGTATCAGTACAGACGTAGTCCTCGTCGTGGCTGAAAATCGTAAAATGCTTCTACCTTATTAGAGGGGAAAATAATAATTGTAAATAGACATGCTTTAACAAAAACCGACTTCAAATATAAAGAACAAGATATTCCAAAACAAATTGATATACATTAAAAACAATAATCATCGAAATCGGTTGGCGTGGTATTGAGATAATCATCTATTTGTCGCGCACGTACTTAATGCAAATTTAAGACTTATATGGTTTTCTCATGGATACCATTATCAGAACTGGACTAAATTGTAATGGGATCACACGGGAAGCGTCAGCTTTCTAATAAAAAAAGATTCATCAAAATCGATTCACCCATTCGAAAGTTACGAGGTAACAAACAAAAAAAAAACATACAGTCGAATTGAGAACATCCTCCTTTTTTGAAATCGGTTAAAAAGATTATCATTCTAAGCAAAAGTATTGATTTCAAATTGCAGTACATTGCGTGCTTATTTTTATCAGGCCTTTTCTCTTTCTTTCTGTGTGGGTAATGTGAAGTGTACGGTTATAGTAAAGTTATGACATTGTTAATGTTGCCCTGAAAGAATATGTGATTTGTGAATGCTTAATTTCTTCAAAGCTCTGTAATAATGCAGCTTAGATGTGTTGTACAGTAATTACTCGTAATGCATTGTAGATTTATTTTTGAAATAAAATGAGGAGTCATCATGACAAGGAACGTTTTTTTGTTGATTAAATAAATAAAAAAGAATCGATTTAAAAAAAAATATATGTATATATATACATATATAAATTCGGATTTAGAATTTAATATTCCACAACTGTATATTATTTTGTAACGGAAAAATAAATTATCATTACTAAATATAATGTCAAATTCATTAATATTGGTTACAGCTCGCGGGGATAACTCGTGTCCGTCGAACTAACTCAAGACGATCGCCTTATTACAGACTTCTGCATTGGTTCACTGAAAAAAGGGTGTTTTTTGTGAAGTCCTCTTAAATCAAATAGTTGCTTTTTTTGTAACTTCCCCGAATTTTTGCATCCTTGCTGAATGTCAAAACAAACATGTATCGGCTCTACAAGTCTTGTCAATTTTTTTTTTCTCCTACATACGCTGGATGACTTGAGAGGCTATGCCAGCGTAACTGATGGTGTAGGTGAGCTCACGGGGCTCTAACCTGACCTAGCAAGAGCCGTGCTTCGCAGAATCTACCACCGGATCGGAAACGCGACCCACTGAGAAGATCCGGCGAGAAACTCAGTGGGCTGTTTCTATAGGTTAGAATTGTCATAAACGCGAACTAGATAATTACCGAACTTATATACGAGCAGTGAACGTTTTACGGGATCTATATGAAAAAATACACATGTCGCCATAAGTTAGGTATAAAATGTATACAATTCATGTTGCGTTTGATCGGAGCGATAAAAGTGAAGTAAATGATCGATCGATGTGTGCAAGTTATTTCCGCGCGTTTTATGATTCTGTGATAGCCACGAGAAGGAATAATTTCATTCAAGATCAGAGAAATCATTAAATCGAAAATATATACAGATAGCAATAAGTTAAAATAGAATAAATGGTTTATTTATGAAATGTAAAGAAAAAGAGTTGGAAGACTTATGAAGTAATTTCATTGTTAAATTAGTTAATTAAATTTTTTATTAAAAATAAGTATTATTTAATAAAGTTTTATTGTAACTCATTTTTTGGTTTTTCTTTTCCAACATTTGGTAGGGGCAGTAATGGACCACTTCAAATTTGAGCACATTTACTAATGTTGACTTTTGGTTTGGCCGTTGGTTAGCTGTAGTTATTGAAAGTTTCGACAAAAACCAGCCAAAAGATAAATGTTCGTCATTTGAGTAAGCTCTTATTTAGAAGGTAATTCTCGGGTACATCACCTCCTACGTTTGCAAGACCCATTGCAATATTAGTTGTAATAAAAATAAAGCTTTCTATCAGTACTCAATCTTCGTTTAATAAGATAGTTGCAATGTTTTTCTCTATGTCAGGATAATTTCTGTTAGTTCGTATTCTAAACTAATTGTAATAAATACTTCAATGTTACCTGACAATTCAAATCAGAGCCACGTAAATTAGTGTTTGAACGCTTCGAAATGGCGTAGCAATGGAAAATAGCTGAAGATTCATTCTATTATTATTATTAATTATATCCAAATAGAACATTTTTTGGCATCTACCGGCAAACATCACAACGGGAATATCGGTCACATTCCTGTTATGTATGTTGTGTCGTGTTATGTTATGTACACATATAGATTTTTTTATTGCTTAGATAGGTGGACGCGCTCACGGCCCACCTGGTGTTGAGTAGATACCGGAGCCCATAGACATCTACAACGTAAATGCTGGCACCTACCTTGTGACATGAGCTTAGTCTCAGTTTTTACAGAACAGTGTCTTTCCTACCCTTCAAATTGAAACGTATTACTGCTTCGCGGCAGAAATAGGCAGGGTGGTGGTGCCTACCTGTGCGGACTCACAAGAGGTCCTACCGCCAGTAATTACGCAAATTATAATTTTTATTGCACGATGTTATTCCTTCACCGTGGAAGTCAATCGTGAACATTTGTTAAGTAGGGACATACTTCATTAGAAAAGAGTTTATATTCTTGGCATTCGAACACCGTTGCATCGCTTGATACGAATTCAGCGTCTTATCCTTTAGGCCACGACGACCTCAACATGTAGTTTGTTGGAACTCTTCTTTTTCTCCACCTTATCTGCCTAGGTGGGGTCGGCACAGCTAATTTTTCTCTTCCATTCTCTTCTATCAGCCGTCATCTCAACGTGTATTTTGTATGAACAATAAATTTACATCAAATTAGATAACAAACCTCACAATATGCAGTAATTATTTTACTGAAAATCCCAGTTCTTTAAGAATTATGTTGTTTACTTATTATTGTATTTATTATTGTTAATTAATTATTATTGTTGACCATTAAATTGTCCACAGCTAACATTTTCTCGTGCGTTAGGTGTCAGAAACACGTATCTATATACGAATACATCCGGCATCCAAATGCTAATTATATTTCTGCTAATTGCTGAAGCCAGGTCTTAGAAGTAATCTTTGACTCGCTTTCTCAGCTCCAGGCGATCAAATTAGTTGCTTGCCATTTGAGCTAAATTGGGTTGACTTACCTCTAACATTTAAAAAAGCATTCTTCATTAAATAACATTTATTAAAGAACTGTACATGTAAATTACAATTTTTATTTAATAAACCCAATGAAACGATATAAATAACGTGAAAAGCGCAACATATTATATCAATACTATTTGAATAATACTTTTTTCAATGATTCTATTGCGAATCGTGGACCATTTCCTATGTAATTTTACAAGAAAATGTTTGATAATAACCACTATTTATAAAAAATAGTTTCTGGCTTTTAGTAAAAAAGTATTTTTAATTTTATAAAGGAAAACTTTTCCTATAGGAGTCTGTATTTATTTGTCCGAAGAATGGAATTCTCCAAATCACTCATAATGTATATACATAATTTAGGAATCTGTCATCGTCATCATCATGTAGACGTTTGCCGTTAAAAATAAGATTCCCTCAAGGTTCGTCACAATGACGGGTCGACTGATGCTTGGTCCAGATTCCCAATTACAAGGTATAATAAGGTACAATATCCTGATTTTTGTCTATTCAACAATTGAGTCGTCTATTATCAAAGGTGGCAATCTGTGCATTTGGACAAAAAAATGTTATTGATATGTCAATACAGATTGATTTGAATATAATCGTCTCCTTCAAAGAATACGGTTCAAAGCCTGCATTAAATAAAGGTTAATAGTTAACCTGTTATTTATCTAAGATGTCGTTCCGAAGAGTTTTGTGACTGCCAATGGAATACAAAGTCAATAATTCGTTTTTCTGATTTACCAATATTGTTCAAAAGTCAGATTGCCGGCTTTGATAATAGACGACTCAATTATGATATCTGAAAATGCTCCAATCTATCAAAACTATCAAATAATTAAGTACTACTTTGTGATAATTACAACCCTTTGTAAATGTTACTACAATGTTGTGCTAACATAAATATAATGACATATTTCTTTGTATACTTGATATAAGAAAATTAGATCAAGAGAAAGTATATTGTCATGAAATTTACTAAACGACATGATTTTGATGTAAAATGGGGTATGAACTCTGGGCTGGTACCGAGTGGTATAGACATAGGGGAATGCATTTAGCTTTCTTCTGACTGGGTATTTTATTGTCTAATGGTATTATATAATGGCTTCAAATCATAATTTGCAGGATATTGGTTCAGAGTTTTGTGGTCTCACAGTGTGTCCCACTACCAGTAAATTAAAATGAATGGAAATACTGCTAATTTTACTATTGACATTTTTTTCATTAAATTGTAATCTTCATGTCCATTATGTTTTATTTAATATTATATTTCTATATAATTACAAACTACGAAATTATATTATATTTCAAAATAATGATATCATATTAAAATATTCAACTTAAGCATGGGCTACTATGATTGAAATTCTGTGAGCTCTTATTAAGCCAAATCCAGCAGTAAAATCCAAATGGTATTTTTGTTCAGTTCAAAACTGCATTTCAATTGGGCAAGTAAGACCAAAGAAGCCATTATAATATAGATGTTAAGAGATGTGTCAGAAAAATACTCCCAGCTTTAAGAGGTGCTATGTCATTATTTTAGGCTACTAATTTGAGAGTTGAACAAAGATGTAGACAAACATTCAAATGTTTTCATTTACATTAGTCATTTGATTTCAGGGAATCAAATATTTTAGTTAAAAAAGTGATTGAATTTTACTTGAACATTAACATTAAAATATCTTTACACTTAAATATAATTTCTTTTTTCATAAATTATGTAAAAATAATCATAAAAAATTTATATTCATTTCATTTTTATATATATTTTAAGAGGCAGACCAGATGGTGAGTAGTACATGACATAGGCCACAGGATAGACACCAAAATGAGATTTTAATGTTTAAAATAATATCAAATAAGCTTTATTATTTAATGGCATTCAACTGAGCTTGTTTGTACCACTACATTATTTCTAATTTTCTGATGTTTATGTAAAGAGATAACCAATGGAAATATTTTATAATGATAATATAGGTTGAAGTCAACATCATTAGAGCACTCGTTAGCTTTTGTGCAGTTTTCATTAATGTCATATTTTACATTTAGAAAATTTACTCCTTAACATTCACTCAATTGTAGCTACAGTTAAGATTTCAGCCCTTGAACTACAATATCATATTTACAATTTGTTTATTAATTGCTCGCTGTCTGCTTCTGCAAGCCAGCAGGATCCATTATAGGTGGCTGCTTCTTAACTATACCCGAGAGTAAGGTTTTGATCTGGGCAATGGCCCGGCCTGGGTTCAGACCTTTCGGGCATGTGCGAGTGCAGTTCATGATTGTATGGCAACGGTACACAGAGTATGTGTCCTTGAGTTTTGATAAACGTTTCTCAGTGGCTTCATCTCGGGAGTCAATGATCCACCTGTAGGCCTGCATGAGGACAGCAGGGCCTAGGTACTTATCTCCATTCCACCAGTACGACGGGCAACTCGTCGAACAGCAAGCACATAGCACACATTCATAGAGACCATCCAACTTGACGCGGTCCTCTACATCCTGGAGCAATTGAGTCTCCTTACCTTTAACAGCTTCATTTTCCCGCTGCAGCCATGGCTCGATAGACTGGTACTGCCGGTAAAAGTTGGTCAGATCGGGGACCAAGTCTTTGACGACGTACATGTGAGGTAGAGGATAAATCTTCGTCGGCTTGGAAATGTTTTGATCGATATGGCTGATGCAGGCCAGAGTGTTGACGCCGTCGATATTCATCGCACAAGAACCACAAACGCCCTCTCGGCACGAACGTCTGAAGGTCAGGGTTGGGTCTACTTCGTTCTTAATCTTCAGCAAAGCGTCCAATACCATCGGTGCGCAGTCGTCCAAATCCACTTCGAAATTTTGCGTATAAGGTTTCTTGTCGGGCTCATCAGGGTTCCATCGATAGACTGCGAAGGTCTTAACACGTTTTGCGAGGGATGCTGACGTAGCAAACGTACGCAGCTGCCCGAAGGTACCAGTCGTCAGCCTAAGCAAAGGCATTATGTAATGCTTAAATCACAATAAAAATATTTAATTTACACTACGTTAAATGGTCTAGACTCGTGGGTTTCACGGTCTAGCACAATCGTACAATATTAGCGTTCGTAACTTGTTTTGTTACTATTATGTCGAGTCGATTTATACCACCAAACGATAATCTTTTGAATGCCGAGTAGTGAATGGAAATTTTGATCGTTTGACATATTTGTTACTTCATTTTGACATTTTGTTTAATTCATTCTATTCGAAAGGCCAAGGGAACATAACTATTCTATACGACAAAATTATTTTTTATGAATTTACCAAAAGTTCGATGGATTATTGAAAGATCGATTTACTGGTGGCAGGACATGTTATCAATACGCATGGGCATGTACTACCACCCTGGCAATTTCTGCCATGAAGAAGTATTGCTTTTCAGTTTGAAGGGTAGGGCAGCCGTTGTACTGTAAACATGTGACCTTAGAATTCATGTCTCGAGGTGGGTGGCGGCATTTACGTTGTAGATGTCTATGGGTTCCGGTAACAAGTTAACACACATCTAGCAATAAAAAAAAAAGATCTCGAGAAACCTTGTCTAGTGATTTGTTTTATTTTATCAACTTGTGCACTTTTATAGACGCTAAATCAACCGGTTAAGCGACAATTATCAAATGTATAAATCAGAGCAATCAGTTACAAGACAGAAAACAATATAACTTGATACGTTGCATTCTGAAAAAGTATTGCGGTCTGGCGGTATAGGATATTAATTAAGATTCATTTGCTTTGACAAGATCTAAATAGATATAAAAATATAAAAAATAAATAAGTTTTAATTTTACAATACTGTCTATTATTTTATGTTTCCTGTTTGTGTTTATTCAAAATGTACATTGAACTTACAATTAATTCACAACATGTCATTGTGACTATGAGCTCTTCTTAGTTTTTAAGCTAACAAAAAAGATGTCACCACCTACTTTGAGTCATGCCTAAGTCTCAATTGTATAATATACTGTTTGTTCTCCCCGCTACTAGTTTGGTTGGCATCCAATTCGCATTGGAAATAGGCAGGGTGGTGATATCTACCCATGCGGACCCACAAGACGCGGGCTTCCACCACTAATTACACAAATTAGTATTTTTGCGAGTTTGATTATTGAGTGGATTTGAATACATGCCTTCAACCTTTGAATATTTTCAGTGAAGAGAAGAACTTTTGATTTAAAGTACAAAGCTATAGTTTTCGTTCAATTTTGACGGCATTTTATGGAAGAGTAGGAATACTATGGTTTTTTTCCTCTACCTATTCGCTGATAGCTTAGGGGGCTATTTCAGATACGCCCGGATGGAAAGAAGAGATGGACGGCAATTTTATAAGATGACACTGTTGTCTAACAAAAAACACTGTGTAATTTATGTATATACCATGGAGCAAAAAACACTGTGTAATTTATGTATATACCATGGAGTTAATAAGTAATATACTTATCTGTCAGCTGTCGTAGGTAGGTAGGTGTAGGGGATTTTTTGGCGGGAACGCGAGGAGTGAAGTTGTGTGATTTGTTTTATTTTGTCTATTTAGTGTTTCTTCGGGTTTAAATGTGTAATAATGGTGGTTTATTAACCGTTTAATATCTGTGAAAGTGCACAAATGTGGGAAAATGAAACAAAGCCGCTGGACGTAACTTCTCGGGATCCTCCAAAAAGTCCACTGAAAAATCTTAGTAAATGACCACCATTTTACTGAGATTAGATTTCATCTCATATCATCTCATTTAATTTCATCCCAGTTGATTAATGTCTCAAATTAATCATTTTCATTTCATTTCACTCCATAATATCATTTTTCATAAAATTAAGAATATAGATTAAAATAAGACATGACTTAAAGGTCTCAGTTACCAGGTCATAAAATCTCTTAAAAAAAAAAGGTAGGTGTAGGTAGGATAAATTGTGTTTTAGCGGGAAGTAAAAAGTTGTGAGAGGAATTGTTATTTTGTAAACATTACATATTGCGCGTTGAAAAAATTGGCGAATCCTTTATAAGAATAGGTACGACGTAAATATTATTTAGTACAGTTAAAAGAATTCGATTAACATTGATATAATTTTGATTCAAATATGTAAAACTGTCAATGAAATTATGAACATCAGTAACTCCGTACCGTCAAATAATAATGACTCCCCCAAACCCAAAACTCCAGGTGGTATAAGCAAATCATTACTTACGCCCTGCAGAAGAGTTGGTCTATCCCGTAATTGGAAGAAAGGTGGAGTTTCTCCTTTCATATCACCTCTATCTAGCAACAAAAAAATTGAAGACAGAAAAGGAGCATCAGATACACCTGAAGATAATTCTAAAAATATTCATTGTAATAGTTCTATAGATACAAGCAACAAAACCGACACAAGTGTTACAAAGCCTCTTAGAAAACGCTCTAGAACTTTACTAACAGCTTTAAATGAGAATAATGATCAAAGCGCCACTTCAGCAGCTCCCTGCTTAGAAAATGAGCAGCAAGTAGAAAATATAATATCCACCCCAAAAGAAAAGAGAGAAAATGAGAAACAACAAGAGACTAATCAAAATGATGTTTCTACACCAGTATCACATTTATCCAAGGGTAAAAGAAAGTCATTCAAATACAAAACCAACCAAGAAGATCAGCAACAGGATGAAAATGAAACATTAGGATCACCTAATGAATTAAAATTTACTAGAACTAAAAGTATGAATGAAACTAAGGGGAAAATAAAAAATAAAACTGGTAATGACAATATAGAATCTAAATGTAAAATGCAGGTATCCAATGAGAACTGTACTGAAAACCAATCGAAGAAGATATCCAGTCATTTGGACAGTACACCACAATTTGAGTTTAATAGTTGTAGCGGATGTCCCATAATAAATGGTAGCTGTAACATAAACACTAGTGATATAAAAGAAAAAAAGAAAATTTCAAGTCCAAATGATTTATCCAAAGAATGTATAGTAGTTTTACAGAACAACTTATTCAAAGGCTTACTTAAGAATGAGACTATTGCCCAAACTACAAAAACATCTAAAAATGACAAAAAAACATCTCAAACTTTATTTGATTCTGATGACGAACCATTAATAAACTTGAATAAAGAAAAGCATTTACTTGATAATTATGATGATGCAGACTTTATTGAAAGGAAGCCTAAACTGCCAAAACTCTGCGAAGAAATTAAAGATACACAAAATACAAGCTCTGGATCTCAAAAAACTAAAAACAAGACTCCGAATATGACATCAAAAATAAATTCACAAATTAAGGATCTATCGGATGATGATGAAGACTTTGATTTGGGTAGTAAGAAAACAATCATCATACGTAAAACATATGATAAAGTTATGAAACCATCAAAGGCTAAATCAACAGGTTCAATAACCCAGAAGGATATTGATGACCTTAAGTTGCGGATCGAGTCTAAAAAGAAACAACTTTTGGCTAAATCAATGACAGAAGATACAAAAGAATTACGAGATTTAATTAAAAGATGGCAGAAAGGATGTCAAGATGCGTTATTAGAGTTAATGAATTTAATAAAAATGAAATGTCCTGACAAAAGTAATATGGATTACACAGAGATACTCAAAGCTTTGAAGATACCAGTGAATTTAGTAGGTTATGATGCAGAGAATGACTGCTTTGTGACACCTGATGATGAAAGTATTATAATGGCTTCCATTAATAATTACTAAAGAATAATTGTCTTTCATATTAAAGTATGACTTCTTATTACTATGGTGGTGATAGTGGTAATATGTGATCACTACCGTTGCTGATTAGAGTTTTTCAACTAATTTCATACTGCCATTGACCTTCTAATTTCTTTAAAAAGGAAGTCCAGCACTGAGCTGCAGCCAATCTAAATGACCAGAATGGATTTTTACTTTTTTTATAGAACAGCATTTAAATGAATTGAAGTAATTCTAGATTTCTAATATAATTCTCAAATAAATTTTACGTTTTAATTTTGTTCAGAGCTTTGTCCAATCATACAAGCAATACCAATTGATTACTGGGCAATAATAAAGAAAAAAACAAGTATTTATTTTAACATTTTATTACGCTAACTAACTAAAAATCATTAACTTAAAAAAATTAAAATTAAAATCTATGAGAACGCACTGGGTTTTCAGGGTCAAACAATTTTGGATCTTTCAAAAATATTTTATGTTTGTAAGTGTACGGCATATAGGCTAAATCCTGAGCCTTGGTTATTTCCTGCTCCACTTGCATCTGTTTTCTTTTACATAGACCAGTTATATGCCTCGGGTAGATTCTGCCCGTGTACGGAGATTGAAATTGCGATAATAATCTGTAATTCTTGTAATCGGGGTCTATATTAAGTTTACAGAGTATACATTGTTTCAGTTCTTTTTTGAATGGATTTTCCATTTCAACTGGGGCATCTGGGTCTGGTTTGAGGTTGGAGGATTGTGTCCTGATTGTGGAGAGTACTGCCTGATGAGTGCTTACTGAGGAATGGTATAAAAATGTATTAGATTATAATGTACCCATTTACTTTAGAATGTAATGTTTCCTTATAAACATCTTAATTTGGAATTTTTAGCTGTATGAATATTATAAATGTTTTTACTACTGCTGCTCTAAGCGCTTGCATTCTAGTTTGAGCTTTACCCGTTGTCAAAGCTTAATGTAGATTAAGCTTAAAATTACAGTTTAATGAACCCATCGTATATAATATGAATGAGGTTTGGGTAAGTTCAGAACATTTTACTTACACATTTGCCGGGCAAAAAATGATTTAAACAATGCCATTTTCATGTAGGTATTTATTGACAGAAATATGCATACATGTAAACAAACTTATTGCGAACAGAAAGATGGGGTACATAACCCTAAAATGAGTTTGACATATGACATTGACGGGCAGTAGTACCTAGTAATTTCATTTTACCAACTGGAAAGGCAAGAGTATCATACCAGGCTGCCTAATCACTTGTATATTCTGTTTTATGAAAAATGATATATATCGAAATGAAATGAAGTTGATTAGTTTGAGACTAATTAATTGGGATGAAATACAGTCTCATTAAAATTATGGTTATTTACAGAGACTTTTAGTGAATTTCTGGAAGATCCCGATAAGCTACTAGCTTTTTCAGTGCCTTTGCTCTAATTTTCCACACGCAGCTCCTACAATTCGTTCATAGCCATCGATTACCGGACCTTCTAACCAATTTTAGTTTCTTCTCTGGTTTTTGCAAATCTATCATAATTGCACTTAGGATGGATTCAATGGACTTTTTGAAATATTACCAAAAAGTAACGTCCGACCATTCTGTTACGTTGTCATAATCTTGTGGGAGCTTACAGGTACTTAACGCTAAATAATTCGCAACATTACTTACTTTAAACTTGAAAAAAAAACTCGCAGTATTATTTAAGAATTTACACAATATATCTTAAATGACACGGGCACGGTAAATTCTTGCCTTGCCACTTCTACCCCTGCAATTTTTCCGTTTCTTTGCCTAATACTCTTCGTTTCAAAACGCCACTCCTAGCAGTTTTGTAAGTGTTTGGCGATTCCTCTTCTTCTTCTTCTCCATCGCTCCCTCATTGCTGAGGATCGTGACTCAGTTTCGGCTGTCGACTGTCAGTCTCCATCGGTTCCGGTCAGTTGGCGATAATAGCCTATAAATTCTATGCTTCTTTTGGATATGACGATGGCACCCATTCTATTCATTTATTCAATTCTTCTACCAACTAAGTTTATTAGATAGGTTTAAAGGTAAAATTTGAAAAAACTAGCAAATACGATTCGAGTTTAAGTATTTAAATCCTGTCATGACTTACGGGAGTGTGGCGTTCGCTCACGCGGCCCGCACACCCATAGACACCCTCTAATCCTTAAAATCTCGTTTTTGCAGATTAGCCGTCGGAGCTCCGTGGTTCGTGAGGAACGTCGACTTATACGACGACCTGGACCTCGAGTCGATCCGAAACACATGAAGTCAGCGTCGGAATGTTACTTCGATAAGGCTATGCGTCATGATAATCACCTTATCGTTGCCGCTGACTACTCTCCGAATCCTGATCACGCAGAAGCCGGTCACCGTTGACACCCTAGACACGTCCTTTACGCGCTCGAGCTGTTAGCAAATTCCACCCCTCCTGGCTGAGCCTTTGCTCGCCCACCTGTCCTGGTGAAACTGGAAAGGCCTTCGGGACACCAGTAAACATTCAATCCTAAAAAAAAAAAAAATAATGCAGGATAAAAAATTCTAAATCAAAAGCGATTCAGGAATGGAATTTAAGTTCTATGATAGCTATCGCTACATCCTTTTACCTTCATGAATAAAAAAAGACATTACATTAAAAATAAAAAGTGTTTTTTGTTCTCCAGATTTTTTGTAGAATCATAGATAATATTGTGTATACACTTAAAATTGTGTAATTGTTGTTTTTGCAAGTCAGAGCCAAGTAATTGCCTGCCATTGAAGACTCGTTTCAAATCTACTTATGCATGTAACTGTATCCAAGCCCATTGAGCCTGAATCAACGACATTAGCAAGTTACTGTAAACATCAGTATGTACTCAATCATCGATTCTCCGGGCATTTTCTGTATAAAAATTTCTTTCTATAGTTTAATAATTTCAGATTTTGTTTAGATCGAATAAAATATAGGTAGCTAAGTACCTTCGTCGACGATATGTGATATCATAATACTGTTGTCTAATCCACTCTATGACAAAAAATGAGCAAAATTTAATGTCTTTGTTGAGTTACACAATGCAAAGTTAGTAATAAAAATAGAAAAAGAATATACTTATATTATGTGTGAATTAATTTGACAAGTGCACAATAAAACATACCATTTGCGTAGTTGTGTTAAAAATACAACTTCTCCAAATGATTATTATTAAACGGGTATGTTTACCGACTTGCTTAATGCGAAAAACGGCCAAGACAACGATTGCAAAATAACTGCTTAATGTGCGATCGGCTGTTATTATTCAGCCGTTTTGAAACAACATTGGCGCAATGCGGAAACGCGTTATTCTACGCACTATTTTAAATGTCCGGGTATTCATTTCAAGTTTCTCTGATGGATGTGTAAACATAGTAAACACGAAAACGTCTTAAGTTAATACAACACTACCGGCGTAGCCACTGTCCGCGTTGAACGTGGCGAATCCACTCACCCGTTATTAAATTATACAGTTTAATAATATGGGTTTTAATTTCTAAATGTGACGTGATTGATATTTCACATTGTTTGTGCAAGTGTTGTGTTCTGTGACTTTATAAAAGTTTTAAAAAAAAAACGGATAATTTTTGATAAATAAAATAATTGGTAAGTTTTTTTTTTTAACGTAATATAACGAAGGAATTTATAACAAAAAAATTAAAATTTGTGTTATAATTTCTTTTTCCTGATCCAGCATGAACGCGGAAAGTATTTTGAAATGTAAACTTTCTTCGTGAGAAAAAGTAAAAGTTTCTTGCAATGACGAAAATGTCATCAGTTTAACTTTGGTGTTAACGTACGCTAGCAAGAAATCAAGGTTGGTAGGAGAAAGTGACCCAACTGAGCGCGCGCTAGCTGTGCTGTGTCCGATGATTCTAATAAGTTATTCGTAACGTCTCGGGTTCCGGTTAAGGTACTTTGATTTTAAACACGTACACCGAACGTTTATTATTAAACAGACCGTGTTAACATTTCTTTGTTTTTTTTAAAAAATCAGTTACGAAGATACAGGGAACATAAAAACATCTATAAGTAACATCAAAAATGCTATTTTTTATTAACGGTATATAATTTAAGCATACGGTCAAAAATAATTATTTTAAATATGTATTCATAAAGTAATAACATTAGTAATATAATAATATGTACTAATTTATACATACAATAATATTTTATTTTGTTCTCACTGTCTGTGTTTTTATACTACAAAAAATAAACAATTAGAACAATGGTCGGCATTGTTGTTGAAAGCGACTTCTTCCAGGCAACTGATTACAGAAAATATATTTACTTATAAAAAAAATATTGAGCAGCACAATAATAGTATAATAAAAATTAATTCTAGGGTAATCATGAAGGAATATTAAACGTAAGAACTCGTCGAACTTGTTTTCAGAACATTAAGGATGTACTTACTTATGTTGTGGAATGTTTCGAATTATTTTTTTCTTTTTTATAGTCAAAGGGTCCCGTCGCAGAGTTACCACAAGTCTTGTTTGTTTTTAATAACATTCTGTCTCTTCTATATCGTTCCCTCACTGCTGAGGATCGCGACTACATGTGACGTTCTTCCACTGTGTTCGATCATGGGTGGCACGGACCGCATGGTACAGACTACCACCAAGTGCTTCCCTTACTAGATCTGTCTGCTTAGTGCGAGTTATTTAACGTTCTCGATAGCGTAAAAGTTAACTCATATTTGTATGGAATGGGATCGTTTGCCTACGCTTGCCGTTAGGGGCGCTATTCCAATTGCATACAAAATTGGGTTAACTTTTACGCTATCGAGAACGTTAAAAAACTCGCACTAAGCACACTGACTATCTGGCTGGTGTTCTGTCCACAGCGCGCTTGCCCTCTATGCGACCCGCAATAACATTAAACCAGTGATTCTCAACCTTTTTTTTGTTACGGCACATATTTAACGATTTCAAAATTTGGCGGCACACAAAGAAAAAGATAAAAATTATTTACTTACTACCGAATCACATACATTTACCAATTTTAACGAAAGAAAAGGTGCAGTAACTACTATGCAACACCTTGTGAATCCCAACTATCACTAAAACAACACGTTTTGTACGCAGAAGTGGCAAGTGTGCGCCGACTTGAGGTATATTCCTATTGCTATGCACGCCGCTTCATCGTAATTTGGCACTAAGAAAAACCGCGTTGCAAAGCAAATGATAAAATAATTTTTTTTTTGTGGATTTAAATATATATTCATGTTAAAAATATTTTTCTTTTTAAATGATATAATTTAATAATATTAACATTATTATATATTTGCAAAATTTGGCGGCACACTTTGGAATTTGACGGCACACAAAAGTGCCGCGGCACAGTGGTTGAGAATCACTGCATTAAACCATTCGAATTACAAGAGTCTCGGAGTCACAATACTGTACTTATATAAACACCTACCTGCCTAATGATCTAATTGTAAGTGAGCAGAAAGAGCAGTTGTTATCAAAATATGATCGAGTCGCTCTCGCGTGCCGATCAGCTGTGTGCTTAGTGTGAGTTCTTTAACATTCTCGATAACGTAAAAGTAACTCTGTATGCAGTTGAAATAGCGCCCCTAGCGGCAAACGTAGGCGAACGCTCCAACTCCATACAAATCTGAGTTAACTTTTACGCTATCGAGAACGTTAAGAAACTCGCACTAAGCACACCGTTCGTCCGTGATCACGAAAACAGTAATGAATTCGAAACGTCTTAAATACTAAAATGTAAATAATAAACGCGACGTTAAATCGAGAATACGAAGGAAATATTTACTTAAAACGTTCCGTTGTTACTTAATACATATTAGTTATATAATAATATAACTACGGACGTTTTTTTTTTTTTTTTTTCCTACCGAAGCTGAGAGCCTTGAGAGGCTATATCAGCGTAACCCTAACTTTTGTAGGTGAGCTCACGGGGCTCAAACCTTGGTTGGGTCGAAACTATGAATTCTAAAGACGAAAACGGTACATCCTATAAAACTATTAAACTCAATCCGCAGTGGAGTAAAAAGGTTTTAAATTAAAAATGTTGCCGTGTTACTAAAATGTATTTTAATATTAATACAAGATATTTGACAGATGCTTGAATCTCGTTAACAACAATTTGAAATAAGTTTGCTTAAACAACAAGTTCTGAACAACAACATTCTGTATGTCGCCGCGTCGCCGTCGGCTTGCGGAGTAATTTAACTCGCTCAATGGAAGATCTTCTCTATGTCGTTACTTCCAACATTTCTTGTTGCATACAATCTAAGTTACTATAAAAAACGGAATGATTTTCACTTTTCACGCTTGACATTTTTTTTCGAAACATACATCCACTTTACAAATGTATCTTAAGATGTTCCATAGCAATAACTATTAAGCCAACTCTAAATAAAGTAATAAAAATACAGGAAAAAAATAATTTAAAAGCCAAATCCAATTATCTCAAATTAAAAGTTGATTCATAAGCCAATCTGGAAAATAAATTAAAACAAAAAATAGAAACAATAAACAATTAAATTAAATGTAAGAATTGCCACAATGAAAACAGCAATTAAAAGACCTACAGAATAATAAAATAGTTGTAATATTATGTTGTACTAAGTTTCAAGATACATTTTTATGATCTTACTAAGATTTTACTATACTACTACTTTGTATATACTATTATTACTATAATTATTATTGCAGATTATACATGGAGCATAGATAATTTAATAATTTTCTTCTTTTTTTTGTGAGGGCGTTTTTGTGTTTTGTGTTTAATTTAAAGTTATTCCATTGGTCTTTAGCGCGAAGGACATTATTATTTTATGCTAGAGAGTATCAGTCAGATATTTTACGGGGATGTGCTAATGTTTTATGCGATAATCTTTCAGACGATCTCCGTAACCGGTGAGTTGGTTCACTGCGTGGCTCCCGTCAGATAATGTTGATCAGTGTGCTTAGTGCGAGTTTTTTAACATTCTCGATAGCCTCAAAGTTAACTCAAATTTGTATGCAATTGGAACAGCGCCCCTAGCGGCAAATGTAGACAAACGTTCCAACTCCATACAAATTTGAGTTAACTTTTACGCTATCGAGAACCTTAAAAACTCGCACTGAGCACACAGAACGTTGTCTAGTCGTTTAGAATATGTTGCTTAGTGTGGATTCCATATTTATAGCCCAGATTGAGGCACAAACTAAAAGGAATTTATCGTAAGATCAGATGTTAGATTTTATATAGATTTTTAAAACTCTATTCAAGCGTTAAAAGTAATTTTCATCGGTCTCAAGACTTGAATATTGAATAATCAACTTGAATATTTTCACATGTATCAAGGGTCGATGATAATGTAACGATTTTCATTACTTTGGCCTTTTTTATTGCACAGTCGATGATAGAGCTCACTAAGTGGGCATGAGGTTGAAATCTCTAAACTTCAAATCCGAACGCATTATTACTTCGTGGCAGAAATAGGCAGAGCGGTGGTAAAAAGGCTCAAAAGACTGCGTACCACCACTAATTACGCAAATTAATTTTTTTGCGAGTTCGATTGTTATTGCACGATGTTGCTTTCCTTGAGCGCGGAAGTCATTCGTGAACATGTGTTCAATACGTAGTATATTTCGTTACAAAAATTTGTATCTGCAGACGGGGCTTGAACACCGGCGCAGTCGCGTTACTCGATACGACTACACCGACCCTGATATCCTGATCAGAGTGCTTAGTATGAGTTTTTTAACTTTCTCGATAGCGTAAAAGTTAACTCAAAATTGTATGTAGTTGGAACAGCGCCCCTAGCGGCAAACGTAGGCAAACATTCCGACTCCATACAAATCTGAGTTAACTTTTACGTTATCGAGAACGTTAAAAAACTCAAGCGTAAAAGCGTTAAAAAACACACAGGTTAAAAAATATCCATTTTTTGTCCTTATATAGACATTTTTGTACTGTTTTAATTATCTTTAATTATTTACGATAAAAGAAAACAGTATACCAAAAAACAGGTTGCTTATTATCTTTATTTATGGGCCAATCTCATCAATCATGTAAAACATAATCGATCCACGGTTCTCGAGTTGATTGAGCAATGACCGATCGCTATGATTGAATAATTTCGAATTAAGCATTCTGCCATTTACCCAGGTTCCTGTAAGCACTAAAGTAATTGTGAATAGACAGATGGTGAGAAAACTATGAACTAGTAATATTAGATTGGACATAATAATAATACGTACGCACGTAATAAACTGTGACCTTTAAGACCGATTATTGTCTAGGTGGTGATGGACTGGTGGTAGGATCTCTTGTGAGTCCGCGCGGGTAGGTACCACTACCACGTCTATTTCTGCCGTCAAGCAGTAATGCGTTTCGGTTTGAAGGGTGGGGCAGCCGTTGTAACTATACTTATATCTCAATGTGGGTGGCGCATTTACGTTGTAGTTGTCTATGGGCTCCAGTAACTATTGCACACTAGGTGGGCTGTGAGCTCGTCCACCCATCTAAGCTATAAAAAATGTATAAAAAGCGTAGTTTACATAACCATTTAATCTTTGTACCGAACACGGAATCTCAATCATCACAAGAATAAACAAAGAACAATTTGCATAAACATACTTTGGACG